CAAGCAAGAATGATTAAGGTTCGACTGTCTATAGTTGAAGAAAAGTGCCTAATTGTCTGAGGATTTTTAAGGTTTTTTTGTGATTTTCTCGATATTATAGTCAGTATAATTCCGCGGTAACAAAAAGCCCCAAAATAATTTTTACATAAGGTTATAAAGAACAACAGTTTGTCTTTAAATTCCATAAATTTCAAGGAAACTGGAGTTTTCCCGGATACGGAAAATTAATTTTCAAAAAGTGTAACAATTTAGAATTTTTTGGATCGCAAAAAAAGACGATTTTACACGCTTGTCTTGACATTGAAAAATCATTTCAAAAATTGCAAATTGGACCCACGTTCTTTATAAACATCTTATAAACACGTTTAAAAGCGAAAGGTGAGGTTTCATCACACGCCAATTGAGAAAAACGAAATTTTCGAGAGGCCGTAGCTCACAATAGCTAACTTCGTAGCTAACTTCGCGAATCTCGGGTATGTGTGAGGTTTTGATAATTTTCGGCGTTTAAAATAATATTTCAGAAAACAAACCCCACCACGTTTCTGAGTACACATTAGTGTATCACTGGAAAAAATAAGAAGATTTTTTATTTTTCCTCGTATTTTTGCTCGGTTTTAGTGGACATTGTCTCTTAAAGGGGCAGCACGATGGAAAATTGTGCTGTCGTTTTTATTGTATGTTCAGAAAGTATATCAGTAGATAAACAAAGTTACCAAATATCAGCGTCCAATTCCATTTCTTTCTATCTTTTTTTTCAACGCAAACATGCAAATTTTTTGGCCGCCATTACTGAGTTAGATGTCGATTTCTTAGGCGGATGTGACGTCATTTACTCAACACGCTTGTTTCCCGAAGGAGAAATTGATATTATCAAAGGCTTATACTAAGCTGTTTTATGTTCAAAATTATGTTTTCTGACGAAAGCTACAGCTCCAATTTTGCAACACAATCATCTTGCGAACTCTCTTTTGCCGAAGACGTTTTGTTTGATAGCGGGGGTGATAAAAATATGGAGAAAAGTATGGATTTGTGCGAGGCCTATGATACTTCAGTCGAACTTCTTGCCACTGGAGAAACATAATACATGAAGAGTACTATAATTGAGAGAGAGCAAAAGCAGCAAACACTGTCTGCTAGATTGTCTGGGGAAACCTCGACTGACACCTGGTACGTTTTGGATTGTATTTATTTACGTTTTGGTTATATTTGAGACATAAGGGACCGTCGACAAATAGATTTCGTCCCGCATCGCGGACTTGGGCCGCGATGGGGGGGGGGGGGGGGAATCCGCGATTACAAAATATTTGGGGCGAAAACTGACTTTAGAAATATAATACGAAGATCAGAAGAAAATGTAGTACATTTTAAATAATATACTCACAAAAAGTTCGGAGACAAAAAGCGGACGCAGCTCAACAACATTACTTCGCTTGATATTTACATTTCGAAGTACATAACCTATGCCCGAACCCAATACGGTTAATTCCGTTTTGATATGTGTTGCCGCTGGAATAGTAACTGATCGCGGCCGAATATTTTGTGTTGACATTCTGACTAGGCAATTGCTAGATAGTATACTTCAAAATAAGGTTTCCGTTTTTATATCAATTTTTAAAATAATTAAAATAAGTTGGGGTTAAGTTGGGGTTTAGGTTAGGGTTAGGGTGAGGGTTAGTATTAGGGTTAGGGTTTAGTTTTGCGTTAGGATAGTTTTTTCTACGTTATAAAAACGGAAACCTTATTTTGAAGTATACTATCTAGTGATCACCATTCTGACTAAATGCGCAGTTCGACACAACCTTTCTTTCGTTCAATCGGGGATATAAATTTTGCATTTGTGGACAACAAATCGGGTATTTATTTAAATTTTATGTTGCTTACAACTGCTAAACAATACGGAAAAGTTTTTATTTATTACAAGCTGACTGTAATGTTAAAAGTCAGCATTACATACTGTAATCTTGCCTATAGAAGATCGCTCACAGTCATATTTCGGATAATATTTTGGACCATAATTTCGATTCTCTTTGGGTTTTTTACTTGTCCGCGATGAGGTAGGGGGGGGGGGGGGGGGGTTCAAACAATCGCGGCCCAAGTCCGCGAGGCGGGACGAAATCTATTTGTCGACGGCCCCTAAAAAAACATGTGATGGCCATGTAAAACAAAACAAATGGTTACTGATCTCCTTATAAAATGTTATTGTCACTTCCGTTATTGCACGAAACGTCTTCAATGAGAGATGGCTTAAAGATGACTGTGTCGCCAAATTGGAAATCCTACTCACGTAAGAAAACATTAATTTGCACAAAGTTGTGGGAAATATACTTCAATTGTATACTTCAATATATATTAATGGTCCATAGGTGTAAATGTGGCAACTGTGTCCTGGCCTTTGTGGTAAAACCCAATGAATGTCGTTGTTTATGTGAACCTTGTAAGGAAAAAATGCTGGAAGAAAACATGCATGACCGCTGCTTAACTGAGCATCCAGCATTTGATATTGGGTGTTTGAACCATTGGGTGTTTGAACCATTGGGTGTTAAAACTTGCTGGTGTAAGTTACAAAACCCAAATAAAAGGCTGCCAAAGTTATACCACTCTGTATACCAAAGGGAAAAAGAGTGAACCAGAGTAAGTATTTCAATGTGTATTTCTAGGCAATAAAAATGGAAGAGATTTACTTTATGAACCCCCATCCCTATGGATTTTTCTAACTGTCGCTGACAACTTGTTTCCCCCATCCCTATGGAAATTTTTTACTACTATCAACTGTGCAAAGTGTGTAAACAACTATGCAAAGTTTCATTTCATTTGCTCAAATCCTCTTGGAGATATTCCACTTTAAGTTTTTCCTACAACTTTTAGCACAGCTTATGATGTCATAGCTCAATTTACAAAAACTGTAATAATTCTGGATTGAGATGAGATATGATTCTATGAAACTAGAGATCCAAGAATAGTGTGAAGTTTCAAATCGAAAAAGACATTGCAAAAACTAATATATAGTGTCGCCGACAACCTAGAAAAGCTGATGCACTACACTACAAAATAAACAGTTACCAAAGGCATCTCATCTATTGACAGTATTGTTTTTAATGCGTTCGGCACATGAATATAGCGAGACTTTTGAAACAACTGGCTAACACATCAAAAATGTCGTGCCTCGTGGAACTGATATAATTTATTTATTTATTGTGATGCTACCAGGCACGGACTTTCTGGGGGGTGCGCACTTCAGGAATGATTTGAACACCCTCCCCAAAGGCATTTGGCACCCCCGCAAATTACATATATTTTGATTTGATAGTTTAACAATTGTTTAACATTTTCACGTTTTGTATGAAGGATTTCACGCTATACATGGAAGTGACAATGTTTCCAGTAAGAAATGTATCGTGTTGAAACAATGTTTTGGAATTACAGTTGCCGTTTTTAGAAAGGGGTTGATGTTTGAGTTAGGGCTAACCACGCCATGCGGTTATCTATAAAGTATAACTAACTTTAAATTAAGTAAATTAAAGAACGTTTTTATACATCTGGCCCAATTTTGTTTGCTGCGTCATGGCGTTATTGCGCTTGCATCCTCTTAATAAATAGTCTAAATAATTCTAAAAAACAGAGAAAAATATTGTTTACTAAACAAATGATATTACAACTTAAATAAATTAAGGATATTACAAATACAATTACAACGATAAAATGTAATTTCTTAGTGTTCGCCATTACATCTTCTATAATTAGCATGAAACATGTACATTATTTACAAGCACTTATCCTGGTTTCCATGTCGTTTTATTTGGCAATATCATAGTCTAACCAGGTGCAACAAAACCAGTGAAAATTATATAGTGCCTAATTACTTTGCACCTCTCTTTGCTATGGAAAAGCACACATTTCAGTTTCTAATTACATAATTGGGTTGGTTGGGTTAATAAGAGGGTTTTTGGTTACCGTCAGTCGTGAAAACACTAAAAATTTAACGGGAATCTTAAGGAAAAAAATATTGTTTATTGTTTCAGAACACTTTTCAGCAGACTCAAAGATACACAGTTAAAATATCAAAATGTTTGCAGTTAAAATTCCAAAATTTTCACCGTTTCCTGATTTTCAGCCCCCCCCCCCCGCACCCACATCTAGACCATCTAATAGTACCTTTGATTTTTGTAAATTTTACATACATAGTAATGAACATTAACTAGATTTGAATTGAACTCCAACTGGCTGCACTTGCTGTTGTTGAGAATAACAACCAAGTTTTCGCTCGCTACGCTGGTTTTAATAAATGAGTGCAATTGTACAAAGCCCGCTCACATTGCATTTTCGACCCAACGTTTCGACACTATAGTGTCTTCATCAGGGGTGATCTGAAGTTGCAACGTGGCTTCTTATTTACCCGTGGGCGAACACAATATAACTGGAGTGTCGAAACGTTAGGTCGCGAATGCAATTCAACTGGGATTTTCCTTCATTTATTAAAACCAGGGTAACGAACGAAAGCCTCAAACATGAAGTATATGTTTAGGATATGTTGACAAGACCAGTGACCCAGAGTATATACCTCAAAGGGGTTCGACCGGGTCAAACATCGGTTACCCTTGCTACCACCTAGTCGCCATGCTTTTTGTCAGTTGGCTAATATGATATATGTACCCCACCGCGCCCCATTTCGAATGTTTTCTCCTCTTAGCGCATGCAGGCTGCCTGGAGACATGACGGTGTTTACGCTGACAGCTGCAGGCTTAGCACGAAATCGGTCCTCTATATCTATCTGCATGGCAGGAACATCAGACAGGGTTCCATAAATACTAAATGCGTCAATGATTATTCTGATAACCCCCTTTCGTTAATAGTGAGCTTAAGCAATCGACGTTTTTGTCAATGGACGTCATCCGAAAATTGGTATAACTTATGTTGGCTGTATTTCGCGCATATAGCGTTCATGCGAGGAAAAAAAATTGTTTTAGTCATATGTGCTGATGATTACCACAAACTGACGTCCTTTTTCACCAAAACATCGCTTGTTTAAGCTCCCCAGTTATGTCACAAATACTGGCCAGCGAACTTCGCTCAGAGCCAAGACAAACGGCAATTATAGGTCACGATTAATGAGCATGCACGTGGCTCCCTGGCTCAGAAGAGATGTGTAATGTTTTATCGCAACTACTCTTGCCATGTTAATTTAGGGTCTTCAAAAAGAAAAATTTCTATAACTTAATTGACCTTGGGTATTACAATGTTTTTTTCTCAAGCACGTTATATATAGTACAGTATATATATATATATATATATATATATATATATATATATATATATATATATATATATATATATATATATATATATATATATATATATATATATATATATATATATATTAATCGCTGTTTGTTCGAAGTGCAGTTATAAAGGGGAAAACGTGCAATTCAATATGCCATCATTATTATGCGCATTATATACCGGTGTTATATCCTTGCATTCAACAAAATTATTCTCTGAAGATTTTGACACCTAGTGCGAAATTATCAATTGTCGTGGATATTTTATCACTGGATATCTACACTAAAATATTTCTCTTATAATAAGAAACATATAAATCCAGAGCAACCAAGCAGTGATGCTACACGACGTTGCGGAAGAATCAGTTGCATCGATACCGGTACTGCTTGAAGTGCTTGCTGATTTTGTCGTTCTTTCAAGCGGACGAGTTCTGTGAAGGTAAGATAGCGTCTGTGAGAGCACGTTTGTGAGGGTCCACTGGGAGTTAGAGAGCTATCAGTTTTCAATTCGAAACAAAGACATGCAAAGTAACTTACGTTGGTTTCAAAATATCAGGACGGAATGTCCAGGTATAAATCCTCTTCCAAAGATTGTCAACATTCGGCCTTCTTATTTTCTCCTTTCTTCTTCTCCTGCGTCTCCTTCTCTCATTGTTTCGTTTGCGCGTCCGCCAAACTTTCTTGAGATTCTTCACTGTACGCATGCTTCCATACCTTGAATTAAGACAGTTTAAATGAACAAAGGAGAAATTGCGCTAAGATTTTAATTTCAAAAGAGAAAGCAAATACATCTAGTAACATTCCAAATCGCAGAATAAAGTGGTTTTCTGTCACTCGCGGGATTAAGTGCGCAGTTGATTGGTCAATCAGGTTCATTACCAGGTTCATCAGCAGTGGTGGACGCATTGACTGAGCTACTGAAAGCACTTCCGTGCGGTGATAAGCCGAAAGATGAGGAAAAGAGCGAGGAAACCAAGGAAGAGGAGAAGGGTGATGGAAAGGCCGAAGAAGCAACGCCTGCAGCTGATGCATAATTGTAATATAACTAAGCAAACATTTTCAAAACTAAAGCAAGAATGATATATCTAGTTCCTATATGTATATATTACAAGATTACACTGGTATCGAAGGAACTAGATTCTGTTCCGAAATAGCACTTACTCGAACCGTCCTGACCGCGTAGCTCAGTTGGAAGAGCATTGGGCTAGTATTCCAAAGGTCGTAGGTTCGAATCCCACCGTCGCCGGGCATATTTTTCAAGCTCGCCCGGTGTGGATATACACTCAGAGTAACATCACAAATATCATATTCACCTGAGTACACAACACCAACACAGAAAAATCATATTACAAGATTACACTGGTATCGAAGGAACTAGATTCTGTTCCGAAATATCACTTACTCGAACCGTCCTGACCGCGTAGCTCAGTTGGAAGAGCATTGGGCTAGTATTCCAAAGGTCGTAGGTTCGAATCCCACCGTGGCCGGGCATATTTTTCAAGCTCGCCCGGTGTGGATACACACTCAGAGTAACATCACAAATATCATATTCACCTGAGTACACAACACCAACACAGAAAAATAATAAGGTTAGGTTTTCGCCTCAAAAAAGATTGTTTTATAGACAGTACTTATTCATAAATCGAGCATAAACTTAGATGGTTAAGTCAAGTTTGTCCTTACCTAGGTAGTGGGTCATCAGCCTGAATATGGGTAACGTTATGTCCTTGCATCCTCAATATTTCTATAACACTACCGTTCCCCAGAAAATGACCTAAATAGGACAAAAGTCGGAACACTTGCAACTCATATACAGGTATTTCAATTACGGTTGTCCACGAGCAAAGCGGAAAAGTCGAATACGAGCGCGAAAGGCTGCTGGGAATCGCTTAGAAAATTCATTAGTTTGTTAACAATTCCCAGCAGGCTTTCGCGCTCGTATTCGACTTTCCGCTTTGCTCGTGGACAACCTTAATTGAAATAGCTGCATACATATGCAGTCGAACCTCTATTAGCTTAATAGAGATGGCCGCTAAATAGAGGTACGCAAATAATAGACCCTGGGCGTAGTCAAATGTCTATTTTAATTATAAATCACAGAGTACAATAGTGAGTAGACTTTAGAACTATCAGGGCGCCAAACACGTACTGATACATTTACTACAGACAATGCTTTTGAGGTGGAAAGTAGCATGCGTTAAAACATAATTTTTAAGCATTATTTTACAAATAAAGCAAATTAGCTTGACTTTTATTTGCGGCGCTCTTGATAAGGTGTTGTGCCGAGTAAATCTGCAGGCTGGCCGCTAAATAGAGGTGAAAATTGGCATAAAACATAATTTTGGACCGCTCTTTGGGTGGCCGCGGTCGCTTAATAGAGGTGGCCATTTAATAAAGGGATAGTTTATAGTATTTGTATTACAAAAATATCGGGACTTCGATATGTGGCCGCCGTTTAATAGAGGGTGGTCGCTCAATGGAGGGCTGCTTAATAAAGGTTCGACTGTATAACCATATCATATATACATATATAGAATCATATATACATGTTATAGAATGTGAAATTCGCGTTCTCAAAGCCAGAAAACGACTTATTCCTCCACTGAGGAGTGCAACAGATTGTCTCCTGCATGGACGGTAGTATAGATATCAGTAACACAAACATCCGTCTAGCAAATCTCCTCGTATTGATCGACTCCTTATAGATTGCGCATGAACAGTATTGCTTTCGCTAAAGCTCTAGCAAATTGACTATAGAATTTACGCAGGAGTAATAAAACTTCTTGCTGCAAATAAGGCGGGGAGAACATATTTATTTTAGACTTGACTTGGCCTATAGCCCCAGTCATAGAGTAGACGATATTTTAAACATTTTCTCGCCTTTATCGGAGATTCGCGAAAGCACTTGTTCGATCGCAATTTTATGGCTACACCAATGGACTTTCCAATTAGCTATATATAGTACGGGATAAAAAGGTTCTTTGAAAATGTCTATAGTCAAAATCATCAATCGCATAATTTGCACCATAATGTTTAGAGAGGTCATCTACTGTATAGCGTTTCCGAACTTCATACAATCTTCCCAAGACGTATTTCTTTAGCGGCAAGATCGATTCGCATGAAGCGGATAAAAAATAAAGATGCATGAAGACTATTTCATGATGTCGAACACGAAAGTCATGGCTTAACTCCAATACATGTACACTACCTCACGGATAGTAGGCTACTTTACATTGGCTATAGAGCCTCGTTATCGTGTATCTGATATAATTTAAAGTCAACCGGTCTCAATCAGCGTCTCATGTAAATGAGGGTGAAAGTTCGCATTGCCATTAAATAGTAATCGTTCTTGCCGATTATATATATGGCTGAAATTTATTTGTTGGATGCTTCTTCACGTGTCAAAACAATGAATTACGATCTTAGTTTGAAGGTCTTATACGAAAAATGTACATTTGATCCCTTGGTAGAGGTGGATTGAAAGCAATGTTTTATTGGCAGTAAACAAATTTCACATTGCATTCTAATAAAAACACTCAGGTCAGTTGAAAAGGACTGTGCAAAAGTAAGTAATACCTGCGCCAAAGGCGAAGAAAAACTTTTTCTTTGGCTCTTCTTTGATAAGCTTCAGAACTCGTTTCGCCATTCTTCGATTCCTCTTGTAAATCAACTCTTCTCTCAAATATTCATCCAGTTTTCTTGCCTGTTCCATTTCATTATGGTTGCTGGAATGCGATGAATTCTGCAGACTGACCACTTTCGACAAGTCTTGTGCAAACAGCACCTCGTTCAGATCACCACAGTTATAATGATAAATCAGTTCTTTGGTGGAGTATGTCATCTCGGCTTTACCACGCCTTATTTTTTCATGTAAAATTAAAGTCTGATTGAGGGCAACAATGACCTAAAATAGGGAAAAAATTATGGTGTTCAAATATCTGTATTACTATTGGTATTGCAGTTATAGGGTGGGGTTGAAAGGAACATGAATAGTTCATAACTGGGGGGGGGGGGGCATTATTTCACCATATATTAGTTAATACAACGACGACATGGTTAATCAGGCCGGCAAATTTTAGAAATGTTTTGAACCGCGTTTGAACCGGAGAAGTTAGAAATGGCTAAACGACGGCAGAGAGACATATTCTATCGAAACATGGTTATAAAAATATAATAGGCCTACAATCCTATGAAAGTCTTTAGAAATTCTGCACGTCGAGCATCCACTAAAACCAAACACTCCATGTCCAGGTAATACGCATCAACCGCTTTAGTAAATGCATGTAAAAAAATTAGCAATACAAGCCAATTATACTAACCGTGACCGTGCATAAGATACACGAGAACCTTGATGAAAGCATAGTTTCCTAACAATGTACGTTCATTAACTATTATGTCACAATTGTCATGTTAGAGCTCTTTCCGTAAATTAAGTAGCAGGATAATAATTACTGCGCAACTTACGCATGCGATAATCCACTAAAAATACTTGTATATCAGCTGCTATGCGTGTAAAATACAATCCATATATCACTTCGACCTAGCACATATTTTGGGAAACAGTTATATAAGGGTCCTCCAAGAGGGGCCCTGAGTTTCTCGTCAATTGCTCAATAATTTTTTATTTGTTTCCCACAGCTTACATGTTGCCTTGTTCGCAAATTTTATAATTGCTTTTCTTCCGGTGTTTTCATTGCAAAATCTATCTTGATCCATGTGTTCCCCAGACATGCCCGCGTGTCTCTCAGTTACTCCCAACATGCATTAGCATAGGTGATAGACTCAAGCTCGATTCCTCTTATATAGCAGAGGAATCGAGATAGAAGCAGGACTCGGATCTATGAGGAATCAAGACAGTCTACGTGGCACAGGCTAAAAATACATCAAATAAATCAAATAAATGTGTGCGAAAATTTCGATATTTCATCCCGAATCTCGTTCCCATTCATCGATTCCATGTAGTCGTGTATTCCATGTGATTATTGTTATTATCATATGCATGTTGGTTACGTGTGTTTTTAGGTTAATCCCGTTACACAGAATGTAAAGGAATGTTTGGAACTTATTGGAGCTTTTAAATTTTTTCATTTGCTATAGAAAGTGACCTCTGGGCGTTAAAAGAATGTGTTTGTAATAAAAGAAAAAATGCTAGATGCATGGAGTGGCTGAGGGCGTATACAACACTTCCAGCCTTTTCTAAAATACCTTTTTTGAACAAAGAATGAGAATGTTCGAGATGTGAGGACTTTGTTGTTCAATATTAGGCAATTCTTTTATATGCATGCAATTAAACACAAGCCTCTTGCGACACTCATGCACTTGTTTAGTTGGAATATGTACCTGGATTCATGAATGGATTAGAGTTACAGTATGTAAATGTATAGTGCAGTAATAATGCTTGGCATAATCTATGAATCTTATACATACATGCAAACAAGAAAGGAGATCCGCTAAATAAACCCCCACAAAAGGGATGCAGGAAGCCACGAGTGGTGGGTTAACATCGGTACAGCGGTTCTCCCAATTCCTTCTTCTCATTTGCATAAGCCTCATATTGTTACACGATATATCTTTCTATATGCCTTAAATTAAGTGATTAGTTGACGCTAAGTTAGATACAGCGCTCTTATTTAATAGTCTCATTCGTGATAATTTTCCATTGGTGTATCGTTGCGTCATGCAATGTGGGCTTTGGTAGGAAAAACTACATACATAACTCGGATGACAGTGCACTAGAGTTGATCATAATCACGCGACCTAATATAGCTTTTCTGACCATATTATGCTTCCCCAACATTACCATGTATCGCGTTCGAGCTCAAACGTAGTTGAAGGCATGAAGCACTTGTCAAAGCTTTATTTTGTTAATTTTGTTCATTTTGTTAATCTAAAGCTTCATAATGTCCTCTTTAAAAAGTTGTGGCTCATGCCAACTCATACACCTATATATGCTATAAAGAATACACGACGTCATGAAATGACAACACGCACTACTATTGGCCAATCAACTCACACTTTGCGTTTAAATTATGTTCTAGAATTATATACACATCACGCATTACTGTCCATGTTCCAGTTATGTATCGCAAAGATAAATATTGTGCAACAACTAGAGCTTAAACGCTAAGCTATATCAAGGAAATTTATAATAAAATAGACCGTAAACGAGTCACATAGTTTTCTTTTGAAAATGTTCAGTCTAAGTTATTCGAAAAATTTTGCCACTTTGATCTTTGCAACGAGCAAATCACGGAGCAGAATTGCAAAGCGGAAACTTATATTTAAGTGCTGGCACTTGACATTACATGACATTGCATGTACAAGACAAAGACTCTTTTTTGTAACGGAAAGTTAAATTCTCGGCGTGTTGTATTGAACACAAGCTGTTTGTATGTTAATTTTATCAACATGGGGCTGCTGGTGTTTGTCCACATTAATATAATGGCATTGTACAAAGACGTTGGTCAATACAATAACTCTCCACGTGAATTTTGTCCACCACTGACAGTGTGGGCCTAATTCAAGTCACCGTTGAAAGCATTAATGGTAATTACTCCCCACCCCATTCATTTTTAGCTTTATTTTTAAGGCCACATGCGTTCTGGATAATGCTTAATAATTCCATTGACCTAAAAAGGTAAGGTGATTAATGTGTCTAACGAAACTTGTTGACTTGCAGCCATTGATAAATTTATATATTTATCTTAATAGAATCTTTAGATTGGTTGTTGAGCTGTTCATTAGGCCTTTATGTTGGGTACCGTATACGTACTGTATGTACAATGCAATTGTGTACAATATTATGTGTGACTTGCTATAGGGGAATCTAACTGTCACTAATATATAAAAGGCGCTTCTGCCTCTTTTCGCACAGTTTCAAGGATGGGAAGCCCTTCATTTCAGTCTCTCACCGGCACGTAAAATAGGCTTTGGATACACTGACCAAATTGGTTGAATGTGTTGCAAACATGCCTTAATGGGGTTAGTTGATGAAAATTACAAAACCATTCTGGGCTATTAGTGCGCAAGGCCACTCCTTTTCATGCGTATACGAATTATAAGGTTTAGAATGTGTCTATAACTGGTAAAATTCTTCACCAAAAGCGCACCTTAAATCATTCAAAGTAATTTCAATACAGTGATATTTATAAATTCACCTTTGAAATTGGCATACCTATAGTATACTGTAGCATTCATACAGATAAATGCAGATTTTTTTTTCATGCAGAAACCTCGGCGGGTTAAAAATAATTATGTTCAATGTTCTGATGGAAGTGATGTAAGGTGTCCCTACGTACAGAATATATGTGCCAGTACTATTTTACTTAATACTACAGTATATCTTCTCATTTTTTAAATACATTCATATTAGAAAAACTACGCAGTCTAGTAAGCTTTAGTATATTATCGATTGCTCGGATGTCGATTGTGGACACCCTCAAATTGAAGTCTCAATGAAGACAAAAGCTGCAAGCGATGGGAGATCTTATGCGGTTACACGGTTCGTCAACTAGATAACATTTCTGCATGACCCCACTATATACATTTATATGCGATATAACCGCAGCAATATAAAGAAGTACAGTTAGCTATGTCAGTATCAGAAAATATAGTTAGCATGGGCATGCATGCATGGCTTGATGTGATGTATGCGCAAATTAGACGAAAGTATAATAATAATGGTTTTTAATTTGGATTTTAATTGCAATGATCGAGCATAAATGCATGAGGGGTACATTGCGAATTCTTGAACCCGCTACCAAAGGCAGTTTCAAATAGCTTTTCCACAATTTACGTTTTTCAAGGCATTTCGCATGAACAGAAATGCCTAATGTAATATAAGTTTTCAACCATAATTTGTTGCGTGCATGTTTATATCTATATAGAAACGTGATTCAATTTAATTCCAACTCAGCGACCTTACGGCTTTTTTAGGCAAAATTCGCCATTATTATTCTCGTAATAAAGGCAAAAAACTATAGAGTATCAGGTTCTTGTACCAGGCAGACATTTGTATAAACTTCATTGCGGTGTGTCTTCAATGATATATAATGTTCTCACAAATCGATACCGCATGATAATCATAATAAAAACTGATTACCGAAAAAAGATAATTATTTTGATCCAAATATTAACAAGGTCTATACCTCTCGGACATAACCAAAATTAGCTAAGTGCGTTGTTGCATGTTAATGCCTGGGAACTGAAGGCGTGCCTGTGGGAACGAACTGCGAATTAAAAATCCATGCCAAATTATACTTAAATAGAATACAGAACCATGCAGTTGGACACACCGTCCATCTTGACCTATATATATAGTACCAAAACAGCGTATCAGTTCAAAAGAGGAAAAACTAAATCTGTTCAATTTATTACTGCATGCATGTGAAAAAATGCCTGAAAATAACAGATATATATACTGTATGTCATACTGTAATTTTTTACAAGCCTACGCGACTTTAGGTTGCATTGAAATATTGAAACATCAGAAACAACCCAGATTTTTGAGAGAAAACAAGTTCGAATTAAATATCTCGATTTAATTTCAAATCATTATCAAACTTGCAAGAATAAATTGTAGGATAAGTAATCATTACTTTTGAAACAATATATATTGTTAAATCATGAGTACGCAAGAACGTTAATCCGGAGTACGTTATATATATATACAAAGGTTTTTAGTTTCAAAAGGATTACCTGACTGTTATTAAGAGCATTGAGAGGCCCACATTGTTCTTCGACACTTTCAATCGAGCCCTTCCTCTTATTCCTTGAAGCAGCTTCACGAATCAAGAACGTATCGAGGACTGAAACACCACGACTTTTGGTATCGTATTCGTTCAAAGCGTTCAGCAACAACATTATCCAGATAGGTCTCTTCTTTCGCCAGTCTTTTGTCATTGATAAGAATAATTTTATTGGATTTAAACCCCTCATACGCTGCTCCATTGTAATCCACTGAGGGAAAATTCTTTGAATATATGACAAGTGTCTTCGAATTCGCCTGAATAGGGTCCTTGGAATCACCTTTCGAAGCAACATTCTTTCAGGGAGGATTTGACATTCCGCAAGCGTCTGTAATGTGACTGCGTCCGTAAGATCGAGCTCGAAATAAATGTTTTGTGATTCGTAAAATGCCCGCTCACTATTCGCTGGAATATGATCCCACACTTTAGTGTAAGGTACATGTATAGTACCGAAGAAGTACACTGGGGGATTTCTTTCCAATGCCCAGAGAAATGAATTCAGTTGCCGAGACTGCAAACATAAATATATCAATTCAGTTAATTACTCGAACTAAAAATTGTAATAAGTATTGTGTTTAGTTTCATATTGAAGAACACTTACCTCTTGACTTGGACATTCCCCAACAGCATCAATATTTCGTTTCGTAATTCGTTGAATAACTTGTTGGTCATTCTGCTAAAACGAAAATTCAGTAGATTTTCGAAGAACAGAAATACATAAGTAATTAAATCTATTTTCGATCACACGGTAGTTACTCGTATTAATTCCATATTTGCTTACCAAATTAACAAGTAACCAGAGCCATAGACCGTAAGTGGCCATTTGTTGTCTACGAGAAATTATCAAGTACTTGATAATAACATGTAATCAATGTGAATTTCCAAAACGCTTCGAACATGTTTACTTTATATTTAGCGAGACTTCGGCCTATAGCTTTCGGCAGTTAACCTCGCATAGCTACTGTTCGCCTTGTATAATGCTGAAACAAAAGACAAGAGATTAATCAACCTAATGTCTCCTCTAATTGGTCCTTTGCGCTTCCTTCGTCAATCTACTGCTCAATAAAAGGCACTCAACCACAGCAGGGAACCGACATTATATTACTGAATCAATGTATAATATATGGATCTTTAGATAAAAAACGTAGCTGTGAATCACTATATAGTTGTTTTATTTGTAACTAACGCTTTTAATTTGGTCTTTCCGTTTGCATTTACCGCATTTCCAAAGAGTACAAAGTCTACATCGAAATTATAAAATTACTTAATATCCGTTTGGTATATAAAAAGATGGATTTTATATGTTATGGAATGGCACAATATATGCCGCTTAATCAAAGTCTATAGTACTGATCAACTTTCTAAAATTTGACATCATTCATCAACTAGCGCTACTTGACCCTTGCTTTTCCTCGACAGAGTCGATAGGTATCATTTGTACTATACTGTTCCGAATTATGCCACACTTCTAAAATTAATAGTATATATATGATAACCTATAAGACACGCATGCTTGATTTCAAATGCATTTATTTATTGTGGTTAATTCTTAACCTTCCAACTTATACCATTGACCTTTAATTTCATATTGTTTATTTTGATACCATAACTATAAGACCCGATATATTTCAGCAGAAATAAGATTGAAATATAGTTCGACGATACTAGGGGTTTGTTTGTCCACAACTGTCAACAATTGTAAATATTATGTCAATCGATATTTTGGTATTTGTCGAAATATTTGTCAAAGGTTTAAAATATACACTTAATATGAATTTGGAATTACTATTACTAAACCTTCAGAATATTTAAATCAGTACTGCAAATGATGTTTGTGATGTTACTCTAGGTGTATATCCACACCGGGCAAGATTGAAAAATATGCCTGGACACGGTGGGAATCGAACCTACGACCTTTGGAATACTAGCCCAATGCCCAGGCATATTTTTCAAGCTTGCCCGGTGTGGATATACACTGAGAGTGACATCACAAACTTCATATTCACCTGTGAGTACACAACACCAACACAGAAAAAATCAGTATTGCAAATGATATTGTTATTGACTCTAGTCTACAACACTGCTAAGAAACGGGATTGACAAATTTGCAGTTTCACCAACCTCGTCCTCAGGATCTTCTTCGAGATGGCTATAGCGAGAGAACAGAAGACCCTCGTAAACGCTGCGAATATCTCCAAGATTCTTTGAGATTGAGTACATGCGCTATAGCGAATCTGCCTTGGCACTGAACAACAGCACTGTGACTGTGAAGGTAATTGAAAAACAACAATATGTATATTATTGTTACTTATAATTGTAGTTCAACATGTAATGGCCCTATGCGCTAATATGCCTACAACGTATATTTTTTTAAAAAAGTGCTTAGTTTTGAGAAATTTATTATTTGATAATCTCAAACACATTAATAATTCATGAGCAAATTAGCGAATGAACTCACCCTAATTCGTCACATGATTGAGGTTGGATACGGCAAGGAAACACGCTAAAAATCATATACCATCACTGTTGTTAGATGAAAAACGGTTTTCATCTAATAACTGAGATCCTAATTACAAATTCAAGTCAAAACACAACAATATACTATAATAATATATATAAGCCAATGAAATGTTTTCGTTTGAGATGTTGTGTAAACAACTCGTTTCTCGTGTTTCATCAGGGGACCAAACACTCGAAAACAATAAAACACTCGCGCTTCGCGCTCGTGTTTCATACAGTTTTCTCGTGTTTGGCTCCCCTAATGAAACACTCAAGCTCGTTGTTTACATATAACATGAAACACTCTAGTGGACCACAGATTCATCATGCACTCATCCATTTTATACTGTAAACGTTACACCGTGCACTTGTTTAAGTTATTTTGGCTAAAAACTATCACATGTATCAACAAGTACTCCAGTGTTAATAATACTGTAATTTATACCTTATGCCTTATATTATGTGGAAGAATTTGCCTTTGATCCACACCACTAACACAAGAAATTGGAACTTAAACACATCCTTTTACACATGCACATCCTAGTTCATTTTACTATTATAGAGGTGCATTTGACCATCGTGTTACAAACTGAATAGTGAATAAAACTAAAAGATTGCTAATCATTTATATGTAGTTTTGTTCCAATGTTAGTATGTTTCGCCCTCAATTAGGAACAAATCTACCGTTAATTAATTGGATAGATTTATTGTAACATCCATGTTTAGGTTTCCAGTTTGTGGAATGAAAAGCAAATCACTTGAATTATATTTTGGATATTCATCAGTGCTTCTCAAACTTTAATGCCAGGCAAATGTCAATCATGCATTTACAAATGATTAAGGACATCACAAGGACTGTCAAGGAAACTGCAACTGTATATGTACAACTTAATAGAAGGATGGGAATGCAGTTATTCTTCACATGCAGAAACGTTGCTAATATGAAGTTATTAAGGAAACCGCAAAGTCATGCAACACCTATCATAGATTCCAGAACCTTAGGAAGCTGGCTCAGCTATATACGTAATATTCTGGTAAAGAAGTTGAGAAAATGACATGGCAATTCAACAGGGCAAAACAACAGAAAGATATATTTTCATACCAAGACAATTCTTAATGAGTTAGTATGAATAAATGTACTAGTTGATATTCATTTTTGGCAGTAAAGTTGTATACAGTGCTGTTTTAAATTATTAAATTAAACAACAAAGTTACTCGATTCAAAATCTGCATGCTCTTTGCTTTTCCTTCTGTGTAGTGCGCATAGATATATTATATACACTAGATAGTGCATCTAATTATTCTATAATTTAAAAATTGAAGCCGTGATTGCAGACTCAGGATATTTCCATGAAATGAGAAGATTCGTATGTTTTCTATTTCTTAATTAAACACGGATCTTAAATATTAAGGTAAACCTATTCCAAATACGTTTTTAAACTATTCAAATGATGAAAGTTATTGTTGCTTTTTAAGCGTTTATTAGCGAGTGGGAAACACCAACATGGCTGCCATCTATTCAAATGGGGGTAACCGCTGGAATATTCTTGCCTTCAATTTTACTAAAAGAGATGCGCTATCTACTCTATATATAAGATATCTATGGTAGTGCGTGAGTGTGGAGAAAGCTAGGAGCCAATACGCATCCTCACATGCGGCTGGAGCTTTTTGGAAATCCATTTCATTCATGCTACAACAATTAACCGCTTTCCTGCAAGTACATCATTGCCAAATGTACAACCAGCCTGAAATGTTCAAACCACAGCTGTCTACAACCTCGTTCTCAGTGAGTTGTCCATTGATGAGGAAGTACATCGCTGCATGCATGGAGAACTGAACAATTTTGATTTGGCTGCATTGATTTGGACACTTGCTTTATTATACACCCCTAACTGATTCAATAGTTGTTAAATAATGTAATTTTGTACTAGCTTTACAGGAAAAATGTGTTAAATTTTCCTATATGGGATAAAGATCATGCTGTTAGGTGCATTTGTCATAGAAAAAATTGTCAAACTACAAATTTTGCTCGTCTGTATGGGTCAACAAAGAAAACTTGTCAAAGTAATCTGAGCATTTGATGTGATCGGCCAGCTGGCCACTAATAAATGGTCAAACTAAACTTGTTAACACGTTCACACCACGCCAGTAAATAAAACTTGTCATATGAAAACTTGTCATATAAAATTTGTTTCATATACACACGTGCATGCACTAATTGGCAAATAAAACTTGTCACATAAAAATTTGTCTTAAAAAACATGCTCGTCTGTAACCGGCTTTAGTGCTCCTTGCATGCAAATGAAGAATTGGCAATGGTTGTGCATAACTATCAACATTTCCTCAAGTGAATAAACTATATATATATCGGGTAAGTTGTACTCTCTGTACACTTGTGAAAATGGTGATTATTATGGATGATTAATTATGGATGATTAATTATGGATGATTAATTATGGATGATTAATTATGGATGTCATGATTTACAGTGTAACAGTAATGCTAGATTTAACTGAAAATAACTTTACTGTAAAGTTATGAGGACAGACTAGCTGTTCGTGTTGAATATATTATAAATGTTCCATTTGTTAAAGTCAATGGCATCCGTTCCTGTGGAAATTCAAATAGCATGTGCTCCAGCAGTAACAAATTATTGATATCACCAACATTTTAATACTGCATGGACCTCCGTTGCGCTTTTATTATTTCCTATGATGATGAGCCCAGCCAGAACTGTTAACTTTATTCATTATAATTAACACGTACTGTAACAATTAAACTATAGAAACAACAAGCGTCATGTGCGTATAATTCTGCTATAAAAATGCATCAACTGAGATTGATATTAAAACAGATATGAGGTTTCTCATATTAAACAAGTAGCTAGTATTGTTATATAGCTATAGGGTGGTGGACATGCACCAAACGTGATTGGTTGATTTCATGGTCAGTGCCATAGGCGTACGAGTCAGAAATATTCATTAGTCGGTCAATTTCTACTTAAGAGACTAAGAGTCAGGCAAATGCAATCTTCCTGTGTACAGTACCTGAAATCAATTTGGTCTTTCCAACAAACAAATGCTATTAATTGTAAAAACGCGAAGTCTATGAAGTGTCTATGTGCGCTAGGTAGACATCACTCGCAACAAATCGTGAAGAGACTTTATCATTTTAAAGAAAATCATGTATTGCAGCTGTTAATTGCAATGTTGTTCATCATATAGTTATGAAAGACTGCTATCGTCTTGCTAAGTTTGTAACTAATATAACAACTATAATTTGTTTATTTATGCATGAAACGATCATCCGGTAATTTGCGTTATTTAAAGCTTACGAAAATTCGAAAACGTACGCCGCAATACACAAACATTAATGAAAAACAAAAACATTTTGTAAAATTTATATGCAAATTGTATAAAGCCTAAGCTCGGGCAATGCGGTTTCGGCTTTTCGATTCGCAATGTGTTGATGGAAATTGACTTACTTTAGCCTGTAAGGCCAAGTGTCTTAAATCCCCCCTTTTCTGTTTTTTTCGTAGTCGAGAAATCGAGTTTGCGTTAGCTCATCGCAGGCTCAGGGTGCAACGATTAAGCCAAAATGCCATCGATTCCCTCGGTTCCATGATTTAGATAATATAGTAATAAGCTCGTATATATGTACGTAATAGCCGACTCATGCCATGCTTGTGGTACATTTTTCGTTTATTAGCCTATACACTTGTACGCACGCGCACAATTCCGAACTGCAATGGCGGCTTTTCACAGAGTGATCAACTATATTTTACACAGTTTCGTTGAATTTTCAAAGAATTGTGCCGGTTTCCTATGTATTTTACGTTGTGTCGTACTCTGGACTTTCTTGCGTGTTGAATTAATGTGTTTTTCTTTGTGTAATGACTCGAAAACCACAAAATATAATATTACTCCACGAAATATAATCCGCGCGAAAAGCTTTGTGGTAGCTATACTAAAGATAAAGCGTGCGTTCAAAATACCAACAAGAACTAGAAACATTATTGTATCATTTGTATGGTTCTCATTTGCTAGACTTGCCACAAGTCGGCCTCGAAGAAACGCATTTCGTTCGAGGTCGACTTGTGGCAAGTCTACTCATTTACAATAACATTAGTTCGACGCGAATTTTAATACAAGTATAGTATCATATTTCATAATACAACAAACAATGTAAACTAGCCATACATTTTGCCGAACATAACTTCGGCCCCTTTGGACATATCTTTTTCGTGATAATGTTATTGGAACCAGAATCGAAAACACTATTTATAGTGTTATTTTCAAGCTGGTGTCTTGAGATTTTCATCTTTTATTTCGGTATTTACAGAATATTTATATTTTTAGCGCGGCCCATGGAACGCACATGAAAACAACGCGCTGTTAGGAAAAACCGGAAATCGATTCTGTAGGTCGGCATGATTTGCACGTGCATCGATCTCCATTACGTCTCCCGAAAAGGTCTTTTATTTTTTTAAAAAGTCCATAAAATTTGCTTGCGGTTTAAGATTTGTATTCCTGCCTTTTGCACCATAGCACGTATCTCGTTATTTTCAGGCCAGTGTGAACGCCTGAGCAGGCGTCTTGTTTGCAATAAGAAGGAATTTCTGTCTGTGAACTGGACCGGATTCGAATTTAGTAAGCTTTTCATATATATAGTTAATGTGCATGGGTTTCCCTTTCTTGCAGCTGTACTGTTATAGCACCAATTTAAATTGGTCATTTTAACCAATTGAAGAATTATATATATATATATATATATATATATATATATATATATATATATATATATATATATATATATATATATATATATATATATATATATATATGTTATGTATGTAGTTATACGTAATACCAGCTACAATTTAAGGTAAAATTCAACCACAAACAATTCACAAAACGTTTTAAAGTGTTCTTTATAAAACTAAACTGCCTTTAACTATTAAATGGCTTTATCGATAAACTTCGAGTTTGCAATAAAATGATTTCAAATTCTCGCTTGCAAATAACTTTGCTTTATTTTTTATTTAAAAAATTCAATATAATAAAAAAGGGAATCAATATTAAACATACACTGAAATTATATATGCTGTCTTGTTTAGTTACCTTCGTTAACGTCGGCTCCCTTCTTTTAACCGATTCTTTCGCCCTTTCCTTCTTGAAATTTACAAAATCTTGCAGAAATACGAGCAAAAATGAAATATATTTGCAAACAATTTATCAATCATCAAATCAAGAAATGTTAAGTTTGCTATTTCGCTGTCGTCATGCAGTCGTTATAATGCAAACATTAAATTGGACCAATCAGTGTCCGTTATTCATGACAGTCCACCATATTTTTGAGATCAGTGAGGATGACCACCCATCGTTGGTGACAGACGTCCGCGCTCATTGATGAACTTTAGACTTCGCTAATGCTTTCATTTCTCCGGGAGTAAATAGCCGGGGGGAATTAGTACCATCGCACGGCGCTTCGCGCCGTCGGCTCGGGGATTAGAAACAGAACTATAAACTGAGCTTCGATCACAGCGTTACATTATACAATGTTAGTCTGGCATTTGCCAAGAAAATTTTAAGTACTAGATAAAACATGCGCAGCCGATCTGTATCTGATATTGTATATCAGATACAGATCGGATGCGAATGTTTTATCGTACTTAAAAAATGACCCATCTTATGAGTTCATTGGCGAAGTAATTTTAAAAATAAACATTGTCTAAGCCGAGAAAATCGAAGCTGAAGTTTATGTAAATCAGGACAAATCTTTATGCGATTTATAAACATTGATTGAACATCCATTTCTTTTGTATTTTCCTCGTAAATTATTAATTAATGAACTGTTTAAGTGGCTTTGTTGACCATATGCATATTAGTCTAGGACCTGTATATGAGTTTGTATGCATTTCATTTAGGACAGATAATCTCATGCAACTGGTTTTTTTTGGCAAGTTAACCATGGCAGTAAACATGGAAACGCTGCCCGAATCCCAATCCTGAACGAACCAAAAGGTAATCGTCGCGTGGACTTGCATGTTTGCTGTTTGATCTAGTATCCTAGGTTGTTTTATAACCAACGTTAATCCAAATGCATCGGGGTGCATTTGTGCTTTATAGCAACACATAAGCACTACAATTGCGAACACATAAACACTAGAATTCCATTCCATTACAATCGATGTTTAATCATTGAAATTCCTATCCTCAATTTTGTGCGCTTAAGAATATGCCCCTAAGTTCCATTTAAATTTTTAGTTTACAGTGTATTTGTCATAAAATGTGCGTTCCATGCAACGTGTTATCCCTATAAAATTTAACTTCGAGAACAGCGGGCTGACTGTATTTACAGTATTTTGCGATGTTGGAATTATAATTTTTGGGACAAGGAAGACAAAATAAGTATTTCGTCTGCTACGGATTTTTCAACGGAGAATGCAATTTTACCAAAAAGATTCTATGATTTCATTACAATCGAATGGAAAATTAAACAATTTGTAAGAACTTCCATATTTTAAAGTGAATAAAAGTAAAGGGTTATTAACCGAGAGCGAGGTCTGTACGGGAAAGTATTTTCCTGAGGTTTTCGTACAGACCGAGCGACGAAGGAGCGATTTCTGTGCGGATAAACCGAAGGCAAATACTATCCCGTACAGACCGAGCAAAACGAGGTTAATAAACCGTTTATTATATGGCTCCTTATATAAACACATTTTCTGATTTTCATATAATTTGTATGAGCGTTATAAATGTATTTTTGAGCTATGTTCTATTTGCTAGTTTTCTTCCTTTAGATTTGGTTTCGTCACCGAATATTGTTTACGGAAAAGCATGTTTAATTAACAATCGCTTTAGAACTACTTTTTCGGTACCCCCATGCACCCCCAGAAAAAAATACTTATAAACCCAGTTTATATGATTTCAAGCAATTTTTAATCAGGAAGCCTACGTCACAATAATGTGTTTTTCAGTAGGGTCCTGCTAAACTACAAAAAACTTTACAGTGTTAATTAAATGTAAGTATAGTAATGCTATTTAGGAACTAGGCTAAATATATAAGGATAATTAAAGCTAGGTATCAATAAAGCTATTTAAGTAGACTTTAAAAGTTTGAAGGTCTTTTGCTTCACGAATTTCTTGGGCAATTCATTCCAGTCATTGCTGGCAAAATTGACCGTTGTCCAATGTCCCCATTTATGTCTCGCCGCTGATTTACGTATGTTACACTTAGACCTAGTGTTATAAGCATGCATATCCTGATGATATGTGATTTCAAAATTATAAGAGAAAAGATTATTCTTACATTTATAAATCAATATCAAACGGTTAACAATCCTCCTGGTCTTTAGATCTTTCCAAGCCAACTTCTTCAAAGCAGAACTGGCTGACGATCCATAATCCAGGTCCAAAATTATACGTGCTACCTTATTTTGTAAGATTTGTAAATCTGCCATAAGGGTTTCATTCCCTCTGTCTCCCCATACTGTGTCAGCATAGTCAAAAGATGGCAAAATATAAGAATTATAAAATAATATTCTACTATGTAACGGTAAATAGTTCTTAATACGCTTTAGTAGTCCCAGCTTCTTATTAATCTTAGATTTAATAGATTCGATGTGATCGTGCCATGTCAAGTTATTACTTATCATCACGCCAAGATACTTGTATGACTCCACTTCTTCCAGGGGTGCATCTCCAACGGATGTTACTAAGGACGTGGACAATCTTGATAAGCGTGGACCACTACCGATAAGCATAAATTTGGATTTCTTAATATTAATAGTAAGATGATTCGTTTTCAGCCAATCGCAGACTCTTGTTAAATCAGAGTTCAGTTTTGTTGCAATAGCTTTGGACATTTGGACGAACAGTATAAAACTGTATCGTCAGCAAACAGGGTGACGTGACAGGATTCTAAGACATTCGGCAAATCATTAACATATATCACAAACAATAATGGCCCAAGAATGGACCCTTGGGCAACTCCTATTGATATCTTTGCAGTTTCAGACTGGGCGTTATTATAGACTGTTACCTGTGAACGTTCGGAGAGAAAAGATTTAAACCATTCACAAGCATGGTCATCAGCACCAAGTAGATGTAGCTTACGTAACAGGATTCCATGGTTTACGGTGTCGAATGCCTTTGCTAAGTCTATAAAAACAGTTCCAGTAAGCTCCCCAGCATCCATTGATTGTAAAACCTTGTCAGTAAATTGTGCTGTAGCCAGTACAGTGTTGGAATTAAGACGAAATCCAAACTGACTCGTTGATAGTAAATCATTGTCATCAAGGAATGCAGATAACTGTTTATGAATAGCTTTCTCTAGTATCTTGCTAATGGTTGGTAAAATTGATATTGGTCTATAATTTGACGGATTTTGCTTATCTCCTGATTTATAAATGGGAATTATTCTAGCAGATTTCCAATTGTTTGGGAAGACTTTTTCCTGAATTGATAGATTAAATAGTTTGGTAAGAGAAGGTGTGATTACCGACACTGCATCTTTGATCATACGAGCACTGATCTTATCTAATCCAGTGGCTTTATTTGATTTTAGCTGAATAATGCACTTGGATACAAACTCACTTGTTACTGGAGCAATTGTGAAAGTACTATTACATGTTCCAAGACTACCACTTTCTTCAGAACAATGCGAAAAGCACTCTGCGAGTTTATTACCAACACTCACAAAAAAGGTATTAAAACCATCAGCGATTGACTTTGCCGTTGTATATGTAATATCATCTACTTTCAGGCTAGAGAAAGTAGGAGTCAGTTTCGCTGGTAAAACTTGATTAAAAGCCTTCCAGAGTTTAGCAGAATCCCCCCGGCATTCATGTAAGATATTGGTGTAGTAATCAGATTTAGCTTTCTCAATGTGTCTGTGTACGTCATTTCTAAGATTTTTATACTTCACCCAATGATTACTTGACTTATCTCTTTTCGCTTTCTTTAAGTAAAAATCCCGGTCAGATATGAGTTTTGCTATTTCCGAGGTCATCCACGGCGTTGGGGGACGGCTCGACCTGCGCGTTTTGATTGGAGCATGATCGTTCATCACATCTGTAAAAAGCTTATTCCAAGCATAAACACAGTCATTAACATTTTCAGGGTTATTAAAAGCTACATGCCATGGCACGGTTGTAAGATCCTTGACAAAAGCATCTTTGTTATAAGTTTTGAAAGAGCGGAATTCAATTATTTTAGGAGATGTTCGAACTACACCACATTTGAAAACACAATATGTCAAGAAATGGTCGCTAAGGCCAATGGGAATTACTCCTTGTTCTTTGATTCTGTGTTGAACATTTGTAAATATCAAATCAATTAGGGATTGGCTGTTTTCAGTGACGCGAGTCGGTAACTCAATTAGTTGGCTTAAGTCGTTAAGATTCGTAATCCTCTTTAGCATTCTTTTGTGGGGTGAATTTGCATTTTTGGTGAAATCTATGTTAAAATCACCAAGAACAATTTTGTCAAAATCCTGTTCGATACCATTCAAAGAAGTGTTAAAATTGTCAATAAAATTGTCAATAGGTTGGTCAGGAGGTCTATACACACATCCGATAACCAAAGGTTTACACTTATTACGATTGATTTGTACCCAGACAGATTCGTTACTGTTTTTCAGTTCATCCCTTGTAATAAAAGTAAGACCATTTCTACAATATATAATAACACCGCCACCAGTTTTACCTGTTCGATCATGCCTTAAACTTGTATAGCCCGGGATTTGTATTTCTTCGTCTGATATGTTTGGATGAAGCCATGTTTCGGAAAACGTCAGTACATCGATTGATTTCGAATCTCGTAATCTAACTTTAAGTTCATCAAGCTTACTACGAAGGCTGCGTACGTTTAAATGGATCACAGATAGGCCTCTCGATTTGATATCTAAACCCAGTTGAGTAACATCGTCAGGACCAGGCTGTGGGCAGATGTCTCCAGCCATTAGTAGGTAGATTGACGACCATAAACACATTTTTGAAAGCCTCAAGAATCTTGAGGCTTTAATAGCACTAGCCACTCCTGGGATATTATGTCGACGTGGCAAGCCTGAATTACGTCCAGGAAATAATATTTTATCGATTCCAGCATTAATATGTAGTGAGCATACTTTTAAGTTGATATTATCTGACTTTTGTCGCTGTAGATAGATGTTTAGAATCAGAAAATTTAACAAAACAGCGGAGCTCCAAAGGAGTCGACCGCCCATGGTATTAAAGACGTTAAATTCAACTTTATTTATTTTTTGAAACAAGTAAACAAATAAAAAAAATGTTCCCGCCAAAACTTATACGGTTGCCAGTAAGAGTTCACACGGCTTGTTTTCTTAGCTTTTTCGATGAAATTTGTGTTGGTACAAGTACTTATTAATATTTCCAAGACTTCTTATTCTTAAAGATGATCGAAGGATACTTTTTCTTCACGTAATGACCTTATAAACTTGTAAAAACGTTTCAAATTCGAGCCTGTCAAATTGACATACGGGAAACCGGTCCGGATACGGGAAAATACGGACCACGGTCCGGATACGCATTTTTACGGACCGCATGTCGACCAATCAGAATCCAGAATTCTGCAAAGCCATATAATAATAATTATTATAATTTTCATTCACCTGCGTAGACATTTTTAATGTCCTGAACTTTGGTAATGATATTTTTGGTGCCATCAAGTTCTTTTCCCGTTTCATCATCATGTTTTAAACCAGAACACATCGTGGTCAAATTACCTACATTGTTAAACATGAGAAAACATTAAACTGGTGAAATACAAACTGCTCCTTCAAGTATGTAAAACTATTTATTTTAATACGGAGAAAATAATTCGGCTTTATAGGTATGTTCCACCTGCCGTTGCCTTTGTATATTAATCCCTAGCTTACAAAAATTTGAAATATGATTTTTCAGATGTGAAAATGCAAGTGTTTCATTTCCACAGAAGATATAATGATTTCCCATGCACATGTGAAATTAATTTTCATATTTTACAAACGTTTAGTTCCACATGCATTGAAAAAGTTTGAAACTCAACATCCATGTACAAAAATTGTGAATTTCACATATGATACATGGTCATTTTGACAGGTCAAGTGTTCAGGCAACAGTGATCAGCCTATATACACTATGCCGTGTCAAGAATACGGAGCGCCACTCCCCACACAAGCGAATATACAGTAGATGCCTGCTTTTCATTGTTAGTGAACTGTCCTGGTAAAAAGATAAGGAAGACGTTATGGAATACTGCGATAAAGACAACCCCTTCGGATCAACCGACGTGCATGCATGTATACAGTTAAACTTCTCTCCTCTTCTCTTCTCTTCTCTTCTCGGGAATTGGGAATGACGGAGCGCAATGTAATATACCCGATAGGAAACTGCGGCCACAAAAGGACATGATACTTCAGATGAGTCCACTCATCTGAACTTAGCATGGGTGTAGATAGACAATTTCCCTAAAATTGTTTTCATCGTTGCTACCCAATTCACTACTTTAAATAACCCACATGCGACAACATACAATCTTCAGAATATGGTACTTTATACCTTTGGAATTTGTTTCCCCATGTTGACTTTCAACCATCTTGTCTGTGGGTAACATTTGTGGACTAGATAAGTCATTGTCGTCGATAGAAGCAGTAAAAGGCAATGTTGCAGTAAAACGACTACCTATGTACAGTACACGCAAAACAAAGAAAACGAAAGGTTTAAACTCAAGCAATGTGGCGTCGGGAAATTTATGTAAATTGAACTTAAATTCAACTAACATGCATGTGAATGTGCCTAATCATAAGGAAATACAAGGCCGAGTAACAGTACTGTATTGAATATTACCCAAGCTACTTGTTGGACTGACTACTTTGTAAGCTCGACAATAAGTATATATAATTCAAAGTAGACTACAATTATGTTTCTAGTTTAGGCGTCCAGCCGCGCACTTGTATATATTGAGTGAATTTTGTATTTACTGTATAGCTCTGCATGTATATGCGTTACCGACAAGCACACAGTAATTCCAAACGTTCAGTGCACTAATAAATCTAAAGATAAAAAGGAATTTTGGGATCGATCGTATACTAGTATATCATGAAAAGTATACGGTACTACGTATTACTATAAATGCAGTGCGGAAACGTTGGATCCTGAATGCAATTCGACTGGGCTAATTGGTGCAGCGAGACAAACAATTAGGCCTAAGAAGAGCAAGAGAAAACATCACTGATATCCTTAACTAAATGCAATACATAATTATTTACACTACACGAATATTTTGTCGGTCGTTCAAACGAAACAAAGAAACAGACAAAAAATCGCCGAAATAGACGTCATTTGGATTCGCGATTACGAATAACACACAATTTTCATAACAAACTGTAACAAATAATTTTCGTTGAAAATAAAACAATTCAACTCACTAATGGTAATCTTTTCTGGGCAAACGGCTCCCTCTACTGTTTCGTCGTCGTCTTTAGAAGAATCACCTACTGGTAGACAAAACGGGTGCATGTAAAACACGGACGTTTAAAGATTGTTCGCAATATACTAATAATGAACTGAGGGAGAATAAAGAGTTATCCAGTTTGGCTTATCGATCAATGTATATTAAGTTGTATAAAACAATGTATAATAACAACAATTCCTCGGTTAATTTTCTCTGCTGTTTGTAGAAATTTGTAGATCCAAGGAACGTTGTCAAGACATGACTGGTTCAAGTTCTCTGTTATGGACAACCCGTCTGAGCGGTTTTCAGACTTATTTACCGCAATTTTGCGAATATTCTCCTGTTTCGGAAAGAGAGCTCCCACTTCCTGAAGAATCATCATCTGCTTCGGTAATCCCGCTTTCTCCAAAATCCATGCTCTTTTTTGCTAGAAAATCAACATACAAGATGTACTTCAAAAACACGTTAAAAGAATTAGTATTTATAATATAGTCATTCACCGTATATGAGCTGTTCTGCAATCTGATTGGTTGAATTACTCGCCGTATAACAGCTCATATACGAGTAGCGAAAAACAAGATGGCGGTCCAAGAGTTTTGCGAAGCAGAAAAAAGGAAAATATGCGCTTTGAGAAAGATAATAGTGCAAGGAAAAACTCGCAAAAAAATTTGACAGTCTAGCAAAATACATTTATTGCATAGAAATTTTTTTAAAGAATTAATACCGAAACAACAGCGAAAAAAACATGTTCATTGAGAATATAAATTGTTCAGAAAAGTTTGCAACGAAAGGGAAATGAATTTGCAGTCAACAAGCACTTACTATATGTACTACCAAACAGCTGTATAATATATCTGAGCTTTTCTGTGAGATATACCGGTTCTAAAACTTGACTCAAGCTAAAATTTCTTTCACAAACTTGACTCAAGGTCAAGCGGTTTTTGGCCGAACAAATTGTCAATACATTGTAACAGAAGATAATTAAGTATTGCTTCAGTTAATGGCTATTAGACTATATTATAAAACAATTATACCATTCGCTCTCGTCGTATATGGTAACCTGAAGTTCAGGCCCTAATCACAGAATAGGGCCTGACACAAAACCTATCTAAACTGTGGGATTGGATCAGCATCATGAATGGGTTGATCAGCATCATCAAAGATTTTGATTTGGTTGCAAGTTCACATAAACAACAGTTTTAAAAATAGCTCGATCAAGGTGACAATTAACATGCAAACCCACGTAACAAATTCCATTATCGATTTCTTCGAATTTCCTTTCTTTTATGCTTTATGGCAGAAAATAAATCAAACAAACAGTATTTTGAAAGGGCTTTATCAAAATCGTTGACGAATTTTGGACACACGACGCTGAAAGAACAGCCAAACTAGTCATGTATTCGAAAGCTTGTTGTTGACAGCCAAGATGTTCTGCCAACTGGCTTCGCCGGTAAAAGTCTTCTTTTTAATGTCAGGTCCTACCGGCGTTGTTTTCTGAGCTGCATCGCCTTCTTCGTGGTACTATTGAGAATTTCATCCTTGCTGTTGTTAGCCCGTTAGAGTATATTCGCGTCCAGCAAGTTGAGACCTTGAGAAAGCTTGGCAGTCAAGCCGTGCACAGAACTGACTAATTAAATATTTGTTTGCTGTTCGGTTAAATAGAGAAACAGACTCTTTAATAATTATATAAAAGTACCTTGAATTTTTAAGTTTAACTAAACTAAGCAAAATGCACACTCTGCGGACATGTTCATGAGAATATAAATTTTTGTGTATCGAAATCTACAACACTTGTCAATCATATTGCATGCTGTGTCTAAAAATAACATGTGGGCGTCCCACGGTGTAGACAGGTTTTGTGTCAGGCCCTACTTAAAATTAGGGCCTGAACTTCAGGTAACGTATATGGCTGATAGCCGACTAGGTGCTACGCACCTCGTCGGCCATCAGCTCATATACGACTCGAGCTCACGGTATAATTGTTAAATATATAGCATGGACGTATTAGTAGTATAAGTTAGTATAGGTAATTTTAATAATGTTTTCGAGTAGATTTTGGACTATAAAACATGCACGAGTGAGTTTTCCAAAGAGCACCAAAATCTTTGAAAAGCTCACGAGTGCTGCATGGTTTTACCCAAATTTCACGAGAAAGTTTTCAGGCCTTAAAATATCGGTCGGTCACGGACATTGTCCGACCCATTCGTGAAGTCGTCCGACGTAGAGAGGAAACCACCGGACATTCTGTCCGACCAAAGTGAAACTGAGGTTTATTGTTTGTCCGACCCAGGTGAATTGGTGTCCGACCGAACTGTAGCTTTGTCCGACGTACTATTGTATAAAAGGTGTACTGGAAACGTAGTCGAGCGCGGGGCGGCGAGCGAAATGGTGAAGTGGAAAACGGCTTAAGTTGTCGAAGTCTTTTTTAACACTGCTGTCCTGGCAAGTGAGTTAATTTTGGCTTGGAAATAAGTATGAAAGAAATTATTTAATATCTTTACAACATTTACCGTTTATTCATTTGTGTCATTCAGACTTATTTCCGAGTCAAAACTGAACTGAAAGTCATCGGACATATGTCCCACCCAAACTCAACGTCACCGGACATTTTGTCAGACGGCCTTGGAAAAGATAGTTTAAGGCCTAAGAAAATCATCCTATTACGGACTAATAATATACATAAAAATGTTCGAGATAATTGTATAGTTATAACTTACGTTTATAGCGAACCATACATTGATAAAGTTTTTCGGCTTTGTTATACCACATTATACAACGCTAAGGGCTTGAAATGTCACTCAAATATGTAAATTTTGCTGGTCTTGTTTAAGGGAAAGTCTTCTCCATTTAAAAAAGATAAATGCCATACTTTCCACCCAAACTCAACTTTTACTAATGTAGCGCGGCCGCCGCTAAATATTTGTATTTTGGAGGGTTTATAACAAGTTGGGAGCATTTGCGGAGAGTTTCTGTGATCGTTGCCCTCTTCATAGGGATTTTAAGGCATGATTTTTCGAGGTACGGGATTTTGCTACAGTGATAATTCAGTGATGCATCTGCAGTGATAAAGATGCAACTGAACTTCGCTCCCGCGATGCAACATTGCATGGAGACGAAAATTTCACGAAATAAATATTTTTCCCGGCAAACAGTACAATTATTTCCCGCTATGTACACCTATAAGAGACGCCCTGGTTTTACCTTTCACTTCCTTTAGACGATATTTTGCTATCATTGCTGAGATTTGATACCCCAAAATTACATCCATACAATCATCATCGTCATTTGCCAATCGAATTGGATTTTCTCCGTTTTTATCCCTTTTACCAAGATTGCCGCCACTGTCCAGCAACAGCCGTAAACTGCTCGCCCGACCACGTCTTGCTGCCAAGTGAACTGGCGTTTGACCAAGTTCATCAGGAATATTTGGGTTCCCATCTGGCCACGAAAGCATTACCTTTAAACACCTAAACAAAGCGTAAAAAAGCACAATCTGAATTCTGAATATAGTAGAAATTTCGTGTCTCTGAGGCCTTACCACAACGAAATTTATCCCGCAAATCGTACATGTAGTGGTTTCGCAGGCAAAGTCGTCAGAGCAACCGTCTTTCGCCCATGAGATCGTGGGTTCAATTAAAGCTAAGGACAATTGTGAAAAAAGTCTGTCAACGTTCTGGCCTAAGTCGTAGGTTTTGTCCAGGCGCAGTGGTTTCCTCTCGCACATGGATCGACAGTTTGCAGGATGTATAGGTTAGGAAAATATAGTGATAAGAAAGTAATTATATCACGATGTTTGAAAAGATAAATAGTCTAGGCAAACTAGGCTAGCTATAGGCAATACAAGTAAGCGTAATACTTGATGTAATCGTTAAATACCCGGCGTATTTAATCGATGAAATCGATAATCGATGAGTATCAACATCAATCAATACCAATCGCTATTTATCAATCGATTGATATTGGAAATCGATGAATAATCGATTACTTCTTTTGCTGTGACTTTCATCGATTGATCATCGATTTATTATTAATTTTCATTGATGAAAAAATCCTCCGTTAATATAGGCATGCAATCAAACAGGCAACGCCGTAATTTAATGAATACGTACTTTAATGCCGAAACAAACTCAAATGTGAATGGAATTCAGTAACAATGGATTAAATTAAATTTTCATTAGGCTATAATACAGATCAAATACATGTGTACATTCGAAAAATGAGAACAGGTTTACTATTTAGCTCGAACACGCCGACACGCGGTGATTATTTAGGATATAAATCGATAAAAATCGAAAGCATTTTGTCGATAAATATCGATGAAAATCGATGAATATCGATAATAGTCGATAAAATTGGCTATAACATTTTGTGACTATCGATTGGTCATCGATTGATCAATGTCAATCGATATCAATTAAGTAAATAACATCGATTACCATCGATTGGATTTCCGGTGATCGGTTTTTATCGATTAAGTACGCCGGGTCGTTAAATAAAAATCCCCGACGGGGAGTGAGCTAACCAATGTAGCGTAGTCTGTCGTGTAGATGATTCCAGCTAGGTATAGACTAAATTTTCGTCTAGGCAAGAAGAACAAAATCAGTCGCCACAGCAAGAAAGAGCATGTTAAGATTAGTGTATGTGTAGAACTGCTAAACCTTCGGACTTAAGTAGCCTAACTATGTTCAGATCGTTTTTATCAAGAACATATTTACATTTACTAACCTCTTGATACGACGTAGACATGGCATATACGTGGTCATTATATCTGAACTTGCTCATGGCATTTTTTTCCGCGAACGCATCTTTGACATACGCATTTTCAACGATGATGTTTTAATTATTAGGTTTTGATCATTAGTAATTTAGCTTGCGCAGTCAAATACGCTTTGCGAGTATCAAATTTACAAACATTGCAGTTTAATTGTTGAAAGGTGATACTTGAAACTTTGAAAAGTAAACATCGTATTAAAATCGTCCGGCTTCAAGATTTAAGTGAAAGTATATGGTAATAAACAGCCTAGACCTAGGCCTTCTAGTCTTACTTATATTTTTTAATATTCAGCGCTTTTTCACATGAAAAGACTGGAACTAGGTGATTTGGGGGCGGGGCGGAGGAAGCAAGCCTAGAAGGCCTAGTGGATTTCCCAACAACAAGGCCAAAACTGCCCTGAAACTGTCCTGGTTGCGAAATGCACAATTATTGCGTTCTCGAACAGAATTATTTGCAACTTAACGGCGAATTTAAACCGATACAGGTAAAATAAACTCATTTATAGTATAAACTTACTATTTTTATTTGTATACACGTCTAGAAAATCGGGTTTTTTATCATAAAGTTCGAAGCAACACTATTATTTAATACGTTGACAAGGTGTAGCGAAAGAATAAACTGAGTCAAAATATATACCTAAAGTAGAATCTTTCATGAAATTTTGTCTTATACACAAGTACATTAATATATATTTTCTCAATTTTGGCAAGAAGCAGTCTTGTGTTTGTAAAATATACAAAATAAAACGGATACATATATTATTAGCCCGTACAGTACTGTATATAAAAACGTACATTGTTTATACAAATGATATATCTGTAATATTTGAACAATAATTTCAAAATCCTCATTCCCAATTCGCAAATATAGTTATTCAAAGCAAAACAGTAGATTGTCTTGCGAATAAAAGAATTATTATTTTGTGCCGTTTCGCTACACCTTGTCAACATGTATAAATAGTGTTGCTTCAAACTTTATGATAAAAACCCGATTTTCTAGACGTGTATACAAATAAAAATAGTAAGTTTATACTATAAATGAGTTTATTTTACCTGTATCGGTTTAAATTCGCTGTTAAGTTGCGAATAAATCTGTTTGAGAACGCAACAATTGGGCATTTCGCAATCAGGGCAACAGGTGGGAAATTTGTCGTCGCTGACCAAAAAATTGCGGGCAGAAACAAAGCTCATTGCATTTACATTCAAAACAAAGCAGAAAGTTAGCAAGAAGCTGTTTTAGCTGACGATTTTTTGCTTTCCATTCAACGATTTAGAAATTAACGGTGATTCTTTTAAAAGTCGACTATGAGTTCTTTGGTTTGGGATGATTTGTTTTGTAATCGAGGGATTGGAAGAAGTTAATATGGCGACGTGAACATGGGAGTAAATACCGTATACGTCGATCTGTGGCTTGTTTAAAACCGTAATAAACGAAGAAAGACGTGATATGAGAATGAAATGTAAGTTGAAATTAACTTTATATGCCTCAAATATTCCATCCTATGTTTCTTAATGTAACTTCAGCTGTCTAAGTTCAAAATACAAGCTCGCGAAATTTGACAAATTTTGAAAATATGTAAAAATAGCTTGACTTTGAACTGTATTTTCTCAAAAATAGCCCGTGGCCTCAATTTCAAATATAGGTAAATAAAAAGAAAAAACTTTTAGGTGTTTGTAGGTATCAAACATATCGTCAGGAAAATAGGGGCTCACAATGTTTTAGCTGAGTCTTTGAGACCCAGTTGCTTCGCACGTGTTGTTGTCAAATTTTTGCCAGGAATCAAAGGCCGAAATTTGAACTTCCTTCATGAAAACCGGCTCGAGAAGGGTCTAGTTTGAAAATTTAGCTATTAATTTCGATTTCGTGAGCATATTTTGGTTACACGTTAAATATTTTTGTACTTGATGAGATTCAAAATTTGTTGTATATTCAAGCCCGGCTTTAGTGTAATTTTGGTGATGACCGGAACAGAAATAAAGATATTTTAAAAACTGGCCGTGGCCTCACGATAAAACTTTCTGAAAATGTTCTCTGTTTCATGTATTTTTATTTGATATCTTAGGTATAAGCGTAAAAATAGGGGCTCATACAGTTTACGAGGTTGTAAAATGCATGACTTGCCTCTATTTTCATGTAAACATTCGAAATTTTTCGACAGAATAGTAGCGACTGTTTCAGATCGAATGCACACGGACAACCCGCCAGAGACAATGGCAGGGTACTGAAATAGAACGTCACTAAAAAATTCTGTATGATTGATTTAGATCATGTCCATTTTCAACATAAAACAGTCATTTATTTTGTACAAACATTTGGCAATATTTACACGATTGTGCCTTTTTGTAAACACGCGTTGCGTGTATTCCACGCAGTTGTGTTGCTCACTTTGCTCGCGCATGCTCAGACAAATTTCCCACCTGCTAATCAGGGCAGTTTGAGGGCAGTTTTGGCCTTGTTGTTGGGAAATCCACTATGCCTTGTATTTTTTTCGCTTGCGTCAGGGTTGTGTCCTTCCTCCGCCCCGCACCCAAATTACCTAGTCCCAGTCTTTTCATGTGAAAAAGCGCTGAATATTAAAAAGTAAAAATAGAAGGCCTAGGTCTAGGCTGGGTAATAAAGTAGTGTACGGTCTGTCACACCATTTGGTCACATCATGCACTGTTCGATCGCAGTTCATACATTTTGTTAGTTGTCTTGTTTGCTATTGGCATTGATTGCAATTGATTGCTGTTTATAAATACACGTATTTGCAGCAAGCAAATTAAATTTTCATTTGGATATTGTCTATTTGTTTTGAAAATATTTGCCGACCCAGATTGAGAATTATCGCTTTTATAGGTCGGCAATTTCTTGCCGACCTGAAATTTCGGGAGTTTCAAGGACTGCTGTCATAGAGTTTAACGTGTGAGATGTTATGTGCTATTGCTTGATTATTTTTTAAATTTTATATTCAATTGTTCCTTACATCATTTCAAGGTATCATTGCTATCACTAAATTTTCAAGCATCATAAATCTTGGCTTTGATTTTCAAGTTGATGGCATATGTTTATTCATGACTGCAGTTATGTATATTTTATTCTACATTCCGTTCGCACTCCTATACCGTTTATACCGTCTAGTCACTATCCAATAAAGTATTTAAAACTAAAGCATAAAACTGCAAAGTTTAGTTGCGAAATTTGTAAAATGAGGAAAAAATAGCCCTACAAAATTTGCAAATTTTGTATAAATTTGTATTACACACGGGAAAATTCACCGCTTTCGGCCCAAATTGTGGTCGATATTCCCACGCGTAATACAAATTAATAAATTTCCCAGGCCTGCAATTTTACTCATTCTTATGCTCTTTCTAGCTGTGGTGATGCATTTTTTTTTTCTTGCCTAGATCAGAATTTAGTTTGTAGCTGCCATTGCTGTGCAAAATAATTGCAATGGACTAGTATGCGTTAATGCGAAATTGCTCATTCTTGCAAGACAACTGAAACCAGTGTTGTAACGAGTTGAGTCATTGACTCGGACTCGAGTTGCCATTTTCAGCGACTCGACTCGAGTCCAAAACAAAAAAATGACTCGATTCGGGTCAACAGCCCCAAATGACTAGACTCGGACTCGACTTGCTGATTTTGCACTCGAGTCAACTCAGTTACAACTTCTAGAGAATAAATTCATCAAAATTATTGTGATTGTGTTGCTTGGGAAAAACAATGTCAATGAGCCCTGTGAACAATGAGAACTTCGAAACTTTATCAGAAAATATATGGGATTTGCATAGAATACAGTATATTCCTGACGGACATGCCTATATTACATTTCTGCTTTTAGAAACAACGCTATTGCCACAGCTTTTAAAATGGAGTCTCAAAATTTTTTGTACTTATGCTAATTCTGACCGGCTATCTTCATTTTTGGTATTTATGAAATGCTATATAATTTCAAATTAACTTACAAAGCATGGTTAATTAAAGTCTATTCTTTGTTAATTCTGACTCCAGTTGCAAGTTATGCTAGTTGTATATACGTACACTCGATCAGCAGGCACGACTGAGACATCTCATGTGGTTGTACTTAATATTGACTAGAACTGTGATATTGGTACAGCCTATGGCTGCCCAGATACTGTTATTACATGACTAAAGTGATTAGCTTAAAACGTAGATTTGATTGCTAATTTCAAACTGCAAGCTAAGGTAGCAAACCATTACAAAAAGCGTGAGGTGGACCATTCTCGTCCCCAGAGCCATTTTCACTCGGTCACTCGTTGAAAAGTAGGCTGTGGATTAGGCGACTAAAGCGAGAGATCTGATTGGCTTCTCAGAGAAATCCTATTTCGCAGAAGTTGAGCAGTTTTAGCTATGAAAAATTATTCTATCAACATATGTCAATGCAAATACTTCGTTTCTTCGTGATACTTCACTTTGAAAATTGTTACGGGTGCTAAAGTGTCCCAATTCAAGACCATGCGCTTTAGAAACTACTGCAAGTTTCCTTGCACTTCCGGTTCAGTGTGTTCCAGGGCCTAGGGAAGACGCGCGCGGCCGTGGGGCCCTGGGGACAAGGATGTGGGTGAACTTGATCAAATTCCCCGACCAGAGTTAAGTCTAGCTATTGACTCGACTCGACTTAAACCAATGACTCGACTTGACTCGAGTGAAACTGCTGACCCGATTCGACTCGAGTGAAGCCACTGACTCGACTCGACTCGATCAGAAACTGAAATGACTCGACCCGTGACTCGACTCGTGACTCGACCTGTAGGTGACTCGTTACAACACTGACTGAAACCTTACTAAAACTAAATATTTTATCTATTCACCAATTGACCAACTGGCAATATGGAATGAACAAAAGTGCAAGCTAGACTTATGGCGTTCGAAGTGAAGGTCCTCCGCCTATTATATAGACGTTAAGGGCTGCAGTTTTGCCAATCATTTCCTAACGTAGCATTCCCCAATAACAGGTATAACATTTTACATGCATAATATATAAAATAAAGAGCACGCGGCAATTTTTTATTCAACATTTATATATAAATTTTTATTATTAATTTACCTTGAATATCCCATGAATGCTGCGCAGTGCATTGGAGTCATACCCAGCTGGCGAGGTGAATTAGCAGGTTTAACCTTATGAGAAGCTCCTGTAACATCTGCGTCTTCAGTGTGAATTAAATGGCCAACATCTTGAAATCTCCCACAACATGCAGCCTGATGAAGATCATATTTGTGAATCCGCTTTTGTTTGAGATGAAGGATATAACCAACTTTGCTCTGGAACGACTCCTCGCATAAGGCGCACCAAAAAGATTCATTCTTTTCTTTATGCGCAAAACTTTTTCTTAAATGTTTAATGAGCGCATACGAATTTGGAAACGTACGTTTTGCGCAACACACGCATTCATATTGACCGCAGCAACGAGTACAAGGTAGAAGAGAATTGGAAAAAGACATCTTACAGCATCAGTCTGCAATTATCCAACATCTGAAAACAATAGAGGCATGTCACATCACTCAATAGTGAGCTTAAGCAAGTGACTTTTTTGACAACACGGACGTCGACCGGAAGTAAAGTTGACGTTTTTCACCAATTACAGCCCTTGACCCAGTCTTCTGACGTTACTCATGCCGTTCGTGTTGTCAAAAACGTCACTTGCTTAAGCTCACTAATATGGACTCAACTCTGAAAGACAAGTACTATAATTACAATGCAACAGAAGACAGTGAATGGCCGAAGCCTAAACATGGGGTTCACTTATCTGTTGATAAGAGACCATTAGATATACGTAGCTTAAGAACTATAACAACGTTTGGGGTCAGCTAGTGTGTCAGGGCTAAGCAGAGGACTGGGACTAGGACGTCCTCCTAAATAAATAGAAACCTTACTGTCGTTCCAATTGAAGTGTTGCTCAAATATTGATTCAATACATTACCTCGGGCTGACCAATTCGTTTCATCAAATTCCCCGAGATATTCATACACTTCCAGTTAAAGAGCCAATTCCAAGTATTTGATCATTTCTGGTCACTTCCTTTCAATTTATGATTGGTTAGTTGCACAAACAACAAAGGTGATTGGTGCATTCAAACTATTCAACAGGAAGTTTACAATTATACTAGGAAGTGTATGAATATCTCGAGGAACTTGATGAAATGAATTGATCAGCCCGAGGTAATGTATTGAATCAATATTTGAGCAACACTTCAATTGGAACGACAGTAAGATCTACGACTTCAAACATCTAGGACTTCAAGCGGAAGTAGATGAACAATATTTTTTTGAACATCATAAAGACACTCAAAATGTACCTACGAAACTAATCAGGGATGGGATCAGTGTATTGTTCGAAGATCTGTTTTTCCACAAAAACTAACAAACAAATTAGAATAGTTGGGACCCATTTTGGTTCCCATGGCTACTGTACATCACTTATCTGTTGATAATGCTTAGCATCAAAGAAAAAATTGTTGAGTGCCGACATTGTCGAATGAATAGTTCAAGGGATACATATTGGTCTTCTGAAGATCGCGATGATTTTTTAGGATTTATACTTTCAAGAACGTCCTTGTGAGGAACGGAAGATTGATTGTGAAAATGAGCTTTCAGACGAAGTCGTCTGAGAAACGATTCAGTACAGGGGCGTAGGAAAGTGCCCTTTTTGTGCCTGAAACATTTTCATAAAATTCGCAGTTTTTGTCCAAACGAAACTTTTGAAAACTTTAATCTAGGTTTTTTCCCGAAAATGTTTTAGTTTCCGAGAAAAATATCGTATATTTGTTTTTCCGGGAAATTTTTTTTGTATTTAAGGAAACTTATGGTACGTCCGGAAAATTTTTTTACCCCTAAAATGGTACACTGACCGAAATTTTTTTGGCGGAGGTTGGGAGGTCGCCAAAAAATATTTTGAGATGTCCTTTTTTTTTTTAAAGTGACCCTCAAACCCTGGCCCCCCAACTTTTCTAAGCTTCCTACGCCCCTGATTCAGTATCTGTTTGAAAACAAATTAAGAGACACAGGGCTGGGAACAAATTTGTGGCTTTCGCGAGGATAGATCTCCCACGGTCGGATCTAGGGTTTATCAGGAGGAATTGTGACAATTAAATTGGTTCCACCCAGTGGCGTAACGCTCATTGGATAGGGTAAGTTCAAAAACAATGGGAAAATGCAAAATTAATAATGCCAAATAATAAAGCCTCAAGTAAAACAAAAAATATTCTTACTAGTTGTAACATGTGTTGGAGACTGTTATTGTTGTTGTTGTAGACACGAATTTTCACAACATTACAGTATATAAATATTAAATAAAGTAAAATGTCTCAGTCAAACAATGACAATAGTCAACAGGGGCCCCCACACCAAATATGTCTAAGGAACCCCTCATTCTCTGTTACGCCATACTGGTACCACAGGCTAAACTAGTGTGACTAGTAGCCAAAACCGGGGACGATTACAAGATTAGCTATATGCATGAATATGAACCCATTGAGTGTCACACTCTCCCCCTGTTGAATAAAATAGTCTGGTGATATGCAGAGTAGAATTATAATAAAGTGGAGGGAAAAGCAGTGCGCAGTACAACTCAATTTGGGTCAATATCACTACTACATACTGTATACAATGAATCCTCCCTGACTTGTTGTTTTAATTTAGATAACTGTTGTGAATTAGATGTGGCAGCAAAAATTAGAGATCGCAGTTACAGTTAATGCTGTAATTCAGGGTTTGAGATGGGATTTTTCTATGGGAATCCATTGTGGATACCAGCTTGCCTACTGTAGTTTGCCATACGAAAATACCATATAGATAGAGCGTAATATAGTTTTTCGTTTTACCTCAAAAAAACCACAACAGTCTGTTTCATCCGTATAGGAATCGTCAGGTGGTCCTGATGATTCCTATACGGATGAAACAGACTGTTGTGGTTTTTTTGAGGTAAAACGAAAAACTATATTACGCTCTATCTATATGGTATTGAGCACTGTATATATATATATATAGATTAATCACTAGGCGAAAAGCCATAAAGGTATATAAATTAATCAACTCAACACATAACGTTTCGACTTTATATGGGGGGGGTCATCATTAAATTTCTGCTCATTTAACGGGGGGTCTGTCAATTTTAAAAATTTAGGAAAGAAAAAATTTTCCATAAATAATGACTGGTCCCTAACATCCAGCTGGATACTAACATCCAGCTGGATACTATATATTGTTTATATAAGGTCCAGGGCTCATGGCTACAAATTACTGTCGGACATCGGACAATGTCCGACTAAATTTGGCAAATGTCCGAGCAAAAGTAATTTTGATCGGTCATTGGTCCAATCAAAAAAAAAATATATTGTCACATTATGTAAATTTTTTGCTGTGACAAAATCTGATTGCAAATTCACTCAATATGCATTTTGCAATAATTATTTCTTAATTCAATAATTCTAGCATCATTCTTAATGTTGCACCGGAATGGCTATACATACTTGTTTCGTGACTTATATACAGTATATCTTGTGACGTATATATGTCCGACCAAATTCAAGTTATGTCCGACAAAAATTAAAAGTGATCGGACAAATGTCCTGTCAAGTCAAATATTTATTTGCAGCCCTGAGGGCTAGTTTCAGGTTAAAATATCATTTGATATTGCATACTGTGTGTTGCGAAGGTATGGATAGCTGTACTATTACTCGAAAATCAAAATGATGTTAACGATCAGAGCAAAGCTGGCGGTATTGCCATCCTTCTTTGCATTTGTGAAAAATTAGGCTTTTGCAACCATGTAATTAGTGTATCGATGTTGGATTGCAATTTTCTTTCTTATTACTGTATTTCAAGTCAAGCTTTATAAACACCAGAGGCCTCACTTTAGTAAGTTTAAATCATTAAAATCATTACTTTGCCTTAATTGATATAATTAATTGATATAAAAAATATCCTCTGTATGGCAAGATATTTGGGCTGATCCGGCAATCCAGCAAAAGGCTCTATCCAATGCATCGCTAAACTTTGATTACTGAGATGCATAGTTGTATTTAACTTAAGTAATAAACATTTCCATCCGATCTGTATATCTGATTTTCTATGGCTCGCCTTTAAATCAGAATTAACTGACCGCATCATTGTTGTGAAACAACATTACATTGTCAATTTTCAGAATACATGAAAGCAAAATACATCACAAGTAAACAGAGAAATGGCCGGATGCAATAATTTGTTAACATATATGTAGATAAGCAGCGATATTCCTTTTACACCAAATTTGTATATCTCAAAATATCTAAATAAAATTTGAGCAATTATTACTTTAATATCGAAATTGCTACAAAATGTCGCAAATTTTAAAATGAATCTACTTGCCTTTTGTCTCTCGTTAGTGAGGTGCAAAAAGTGCCAAAATCTTCCTCAAACGTTGATTCTTTCGACAGGCATACATTGTGAAGAATTATGACACGCTTATCTTCGTAAAAAAAGTTAAAAGGTTGTGAAGGAATAGCCAAAACCAACCTTCTTTGCTTGGAAAATCTATCACTAGTTCCACCAGTTCTTGGAACTGCAACGCGGCCACATCGCAGTCATTGATGATTTCCGGTTACACTTATTTCCGGAGAATGATATACCGGAACTATTCAGAGGAGGGTGGAAGCTCTTCCCAGCATGCATTGCAATCATTAATATTCACAATCATGATTTTTCACAATGTTAGTTGGAAAAGTTGTGGATATTTATTTCGATATTTCGCCACGAAAAGTTCGTATTTTTGAAGGTAAGTTTTTATAACTGTTTTAAATATGAGTCAAATTAACGATTTTTGCTTTATTTGGTGTTTTAACAACGTTTAGTTATATGTTAATCGCAATTTGTATTGACCTGTTTTCCGGGTCAATGCACAAGTGTCAAAAGTGGCTTTCAAAACCGCTGGGGACAATTGGGTTTATAAATGAGTAAATTAAATAAAAGACACGCCATCGTATTCAGGAAGAGTTGTTCTTTCTATGAGATGTTTAAAAAATGAATTGTCCCCATCAAACTGACGAGTAATCGCGGTTTGAAAATGGGGCATTTTCGATATACTATGTCGCCCATCGCGGGAATAGTCGACCGCATGGGAATTATGGCGCGAGGAAAATTACTGTACGAGTCGTTATTATTTTTGTTTTATTTCGAAGCATGCGCATATATGTCGATCGTTGTTGAGTTTAACTGCTGCTTTTAAGTTAAATACACTGTATTTTACCATTATTTTTATAGAATTCGAATATATTTTGTGAAAATGGAATCTGATAATGATGGCAATGTTGTTTATATTGGCTTATTGCATTTTTAATCCACACACCCCCTATGGAGGACATCCATTTTTTGGACCCCCTCCCCTGGAATTCCGCAGATGTTGATGAATTTCCACCCTACCCCCCTGGAATTCCGCGATTTTTTACAAATTTCCAGCCTACCCCATGGAATTTCCACAGATTTTTAACGAATTTCTACTCATCCCTTGGAAATTCCACCAAATGTTTTGACCTATAGTCTCTGGAATTTCCACATTTTTTGTTTAATAGGTAACCATCCCTTGGAATTTCCATGTTGTTTTTTTAACCTACCCCATGGAATTTCCACAGATTTTCTTTAAAATTTAGACCCTCCCTTGGAAATTCCGTCTTTTCTTGTTGAATTTTAGGAAGGTGGGCCTGGAAATTCCAGTATCCTCCATAGGGGGTGTGTGGTTTAAAAATGCAATAAGCCATTGTTGATCCTAAGTATGGGAAAAGTTGAACTTATGAATTTAATGCTGATTTAGAACTGTTACGGAGCAAACTGTTCCTACATCCTGCTTTGGCAAATGGTATAACATCTAATCCAGCCAAGTTGTGCTCATGATCCATTCAACTGATTCAAGCAATGAAACTATTGAACCAGAATAATAAGAGCAACCTGTTATATAAATTTGCCCATACCAGCCTTTTAATAGATACATATTTTAGTAGACATTTTACATGTAAATATTGGTGTATTGGTAACATGAAAATGTTGCAATGAATCTTAAGTATTTACTTTATATATTGTAACTTTGAATAAAGCATTTTATTAACATCAATTATCTATGACCACTGCATTTATATGACCAATATCAGGGGTGGATTTACTGGGGTGTGTGCACCCCCCACCTAGCCCTGGCCAGAGGGTATGCAGGGGGGGGGGTATTTTCATGATAAAGCAAAAAATATTAGAGACAAAATGAGTAATTTGAGTAATAACATGATGATAAGTAAACTGTTTGTTAACAACAATTACAATACAGTAGTCAAGCAAGACTTTGCTGTAGTCAAGTAAGTTGATGGGTGGGTGGTGCACCTGACTGACACAACTCGGCACCAGAGCTGGCAGAGCACCCTCCCTACCACATCATACTGGATCCATCTTTAGATCAGTGATCCATCTGTGCTAAATATACAACAGTTAAAACAGTGTTAAGAACACATGCACAAGGTGGACTATAAGATAAAGTAGGGATTTGATGACTGCAGTGAACAAACACAGCAAATTGAGTTTGAAAACATTTATTTATTTGAAAAAGGAGTGGTAAAATTATATTTAACAATTATTCGCCGAAGGCGAGGTGATTATCAGGGAATATTTGCTGAGGTGAATATTCCCAGATAATCACAGAGCCTGAGGCGAATAATTGTTTTAGTATTTTTGCACAAGTTTTTTTGTATTTTTCTGGTCTGAATTCATTTTAATTTCGCTTATTTCTTTATTACTAACTTCAACAAAACGGCTAGCTGCCATTTTGAAAATTTCGATTTTGTTATAATATAACAGATTAATACGTCAAATTTGACCAATCACCTTGTAGCATTTGTTATGTTCACTTGTGCAAAAATACTAATATCAAATATTTACCTGAAATAATAGCAGTGTTTTAATAGGAATAAATTTATATGAAAATCTCAACTAAAAATGTCTTGCTCATGTTCTACTTTAAATTTCAACTTGAGATTTTTTGATCATCTATACATGATTATCACAAGTTGCATGGTATCTTTGTTCTTGCCAGGAACCAGCTACAACAAACTTCTCAGGATACAAAGTGTCCTCCACAATCCTTGTCTTAATTCTCAGGATACAATGTGTCTTCTCCACAATCCTTGTTCTTCAGAATCCTTGTCTCCATCATTCTCCCAATCAGAGCTTGAATCATTCATGTATTTAGCATCACCAGTAGCCTGTTACACACCCAAAAATTTGGTCAACTGCTGAATTTCATCAATCTTGTCCATGTCTGCAACTCCACCTTCTGCACCAATACTTTCAACATCACCAGGCATCTCTTCACCATGAATTTTAACCAAACACATAGGATTTAATGGCTGTTTAATGCAATTATTGCATAACAATGGTTCATCTAAATTCACCAGTGGTAGGTCATTCGGTATATCCTCTAAAATATCCAGCTTGGGTGGTCAGATTGTTACAGAAGTTTGTGATGGAATAATGTTAAACTCCCACAACAGAACACAACATAAGTACTACAGGTAAAAAAAGATTTGATGCATTTATACAGGGACGTTGGAACAATAAAAAGGCAAGGGCACCTTTATAGACCTACAATTATGTGTTGACTTGCCAATGAAAACCTGATTGTGCATGTTCCATTGACGATAGCTGTTCTGTGTTCTGGAAATAAAGTCTACTCAAGGAACTATAACTGCACAAACACACTTAATCAGGTCACATTCAAGTTCACACCTCATGACTTTGCCCAAAACTGGAGATAAGATTTAGCAGGCAGAATTTCTATAACACAAAGTGCTCTTCTGCCCCCCTTGCCCCTCCTCCCTGCTTTTATATTAAAATAGATTTGACTCATTTGACATAAACTCATAAAGTCAAATACTTGTAGTCTTGTATGATTTCCGAGTATAAATGGCCCATTTTCCGACCAATTAAATCATAAAATAATCGTACCTTAAGGTCACAACTAGAATAGATTTCTATCAATGAAGGATAATCGCATTCGGCGAACATATAATAAGTCAACTTTTACGCCAAAGCCCAAATGTTGTCGTTATCCATAAAACTAGAAGTTCGACATCCCTTCACGAAGCAGCTCCAGTCGCTCTTTCGACACACAATCTACATAAAGATTGTCACGTCCATCTAAATCAGTAGCTTTGTTGCCACGAACAGTACGAAAATTCGCCATGATTTACAATTTTCAATTTGTACTTTTGAATATCGCTCCTTGTAAATTGAGTAGTAAACACAACGAGAGCCAGTCGAACAATGACGGCGCGTCCCGGCAAATCGATAATATGAATGAGTTACAATGCATGCCGGGAAGGGCTTCCAACTTCCTCTGGGAACTATTAATGAACAAGCACAACGTCGATTCCAGGGGAACAATAGCCTGCATGGCAGGCGGTACTTAGGAAATACCGCCTGCCGCAAAACTGGGTGTAAATGAACTACCGCCCCTGAAGCATCAACGCTATTTATAGATGCATTAATTAAGTAAATATTCAAAATTAACCACTCCCAAGGGACCGATCGTTTATTACGTCTCAGGGGGGGGCGGTGGTTTTTGAGGGGGGGGGTTAATTTTTTAAATATGGCTATTTTGGGGGGGTAGTTTTTTGTTTCCCGAAAGGAAAAGAGGGGGGGTTAAATTTTGAAATTGCAAACGATTCTTACATATTAAAATGACTTTATTTGGTTTATGAGATGAAATTCAAAATATATCTACCATTTTGAATTTGAAAAAAAGAAAAACAAATACAAACTAATCGAGCAAGATTGCGCCATTGTGTGCAATTTTTGCATAGAGAAGACTGGAATCTAGTTCTTAGCATTCAACTCTTTATAGTTGAAAGTTTAGTTCAATGGTTTTTAGGGCCTGTTCATATGATCCCGCTTACCGGGACGTCTCGCTTACCGAGACGAATATTTCCGTGCGTTCATATGGAATATTTCGTCCCGCTTGCCGAGATGAAATTACATTGTAGTTCTATAATAATAATAGCGTATGCAAAACTTCTACATTTCAGTCAAGCAACACAAATACTTAGCGATTTTAGTGTTTTTCTTCGTTTATTTACAAGAAAAAGTATTTCTTCAGATGCTTATTTAATACTTGTTTACAAAACAAACATAAAACCAAGTAAAAAGTGTTAAATTAAACCGGCAAGACTTGTTTGACTTCATCCAGGTAAGCGGGCTGGCGTGTTCATATGGAAAAATTTGCATCCCGCCTACCTATGATCTCGGCAAATTCAAACGAGATCTCGGCAAGCGGGCCAGGTCGCTTTCTCATATGAACACAATGCAAAATTTTATAGGAAAATAGATAGGCGGCGAGATCATCGGTAAGCGAGACGTCCTGGTAAGCGGGATCATATGAACAGGCCCTTAGTGACTCCGCTGAACGGAATGATTGCAGTCAATGGTTTACACCTAAAAAAAACATGGCGGAAAATGTTTCAAAAAAGGTATTTTTTATCTACATTTTATAATAATATATAAATATTATTGCATTTTTACTTTTACATGTTTATATCATTCATTAATATGATATTTTTGTATAACGTTTTCCTGTTTTGTATTGAATGTCAAAATACGCAATCTTGCTTTTATATATGACTCGATATTATATTGAATTAGCAATTTCGCGAGGCCTTATAATTTGAATATTTGATGCACTGAGGTTTGATGCCTAGAAATGCCTAGTGCAATTGGGGGGTGGGGGGGGTATATTTTTAAATTTTAATTTATATAGTTGAACAGGGGGTTCATTTTTTCATTTCCAAAAAATATGGGGGGGTGCCAGAGGAGGTTGGACAGCTAATTAGCGAGTTGTCACGTGAGCTCTCGACCAATGAGATCGCTCTATTTTCCATCGTGTTGGCGAAGATTTTTGGCCGTCAAATTCGCATTGGACACAGAAGAACTCAAAATATATATATAAATATTCAAATTTTTCTATCAAAATGCAACCATGGCCTTAGTATTATAAAAGGACTGGCGATATGTGCAAGAATTTCTGAGGTAAACGTTATTTTTTAACCTGTTTTCGATGATTAAAGTTGGTCATGCCGTGGCAACGTGATGACTCAAGTCCGAGTCTGTTTACAATTTTCAAACTAAAAAATCTGGAATTCCCACGGTTCGATTTTTCGACAAATGTCTAAACTAAAAATCTGCTGGAGGGATCCCCGGGATCCCCCGGCAGTTTTCGAGATATTTGGCATTGAAGTGACCATACTCAATTCAACCTTTGCCAAAATGGCGTCTAATATCTGGGGAAGATATTGCGCCACCAAAGCTTGGTTTTCACAATGAATTTTGAAAGTCCCCCAATATTAGGATCACTTTTCTTTACAGTAAGTGTTAAATTACTTTTGAAGGACTATTTAGAAGACTTAGGAGTTATTTGCCTGTTTTACAGATTTTATATCTGTGCTGGTATTACTAGCCTGCATGCCCATCTCCTTGACAAGTGAAATTGTCTGGTGGTAGAGACGATTTTAAAAGAACAGCACATTATAAAGTGATCAGATTTTCTCTCAGTGAAAAATTCTATGTTCCTTTTTAATTACAGCAGTTCAGATGTCGATATAGAATTGAAAAAGGGCTTATTCCTGAACATCCTGCAAGGGCAGGGCCAACTGACAATGTTGAAGAATGAAGACATTTTAGCATGGATTACTAGTATAGATTATAGTATCTCTTGTCCTTTATGATGTCTTCCTGAAAGTTGTTGGTGAATACAAATTGAGCTGTGATCCCTCAACGTGTCCAACAACATGCTCCACCAAATACCTGAGCACAATATAGAAAGTGCACATACATGCAGGGATGGATTTACTTGGGGGGGGGGGGTTGCACCCCCTAGCCAGAGGGGTGCACGGGGGTGCTATTTTTTATGATAAAGCAAAAAAGACAAAATAAGATACAATAATTTGAGTAATAACATGATGATAAGTGAACTGTGAACAACAATTACAATTCAAATACAGCAGTTGATGGGTGGGCGGCACACATGACCGACACAATTCGGCAGTCGGCACCAGAGCACCCCCCCACCAGATCATGCTGGATCCATCCCTGCATACATGTACTGTATCATATTTAATTAATGCTTGAGTATATTTGTTCAAATTTATTGATATTAATAAATAATTAAATTATGTTTGTTATAGTAGTGTACATTTTGCACCAGCCACTCTTGAAATTAGACGTCAGCCACTTTTTAACTAGATGGCCATGGATGACCTAAGAAATTGTTTTCTTTATTAAACAGCAACTTGCAAGAGAACCATTTAAGTTCACTAAGAACCATTTAAGTTCAACTCAGCCCGATTTTCACAGAACCAACTTTAAAATGAACTGCAGTCGAACTTTACAACATACATTCCAAACTTACAAACAAACATTGGTGGTCAGATTTCAAAGACAAATTGAAATTGACAGCAAGATGTAATTTTATTGTTGGGGATGGGTTGGTGCTTTAGGGTTTAGGCTCAATTCTTGCAGAAGGGTTACATAAAGTCAGCAATTTCAAAATTAATTACATGGCTTGACAAAATAAATTCTATTCAGTCACGAAATAGGTAGATGCATTTATTGATAGCACATGTTTTTTTAAGTTTAGATATAGGTAATGAGAACCATATTGGTGTCCTAGTAATAAATTTATGCCACAATAAAAAAGCAATATTGCTATTTTGAGGGACTTGCACATGACAGATATTGTTTTGTTATAGATACACACCTACTTATATTAAATGATTTTTGTTTGGCAATAAAGTGAAAGGTAAAAATGCTGGAAAAATCTAAAAAGTTAGCCAATTTAAATGACATTTCTATAACTTGCTAAACCTAGTCAGTTACTATTATTTCACAAACATCTGTCGACATACACTCATGCCCCTCCTTACCACTTGAGTCTCCCACTCACCACATCGCTTTATGAAAAATTTTGAATAAAATCCTATTTTAAAAAAGTCAACCCTATACTTTATATGCTGAACATAGACCTCTAAGATATCTCATGCAGCAATTAGTGGGTGCAAATAATATAGC